AAAAAAATGATTATTTTTTTGTTTATTACCTACCTACAGACAAACTGCTTAATTATTAATTAATCAAAATCAAAGTAATTGAAGAGATTTTATGATTATAATTAACAATACCCTTTATTTTATAATACTTCTTTTTTCTGCTACTTATTATCTATTACTGTAGTCACAAATAGCCGCGGAGTTATGAAACTAACATTTACTAATTAGGGTTTCATCTCAATACCCTTTACGTGATCTCTAAAACCTTCATTTAACTGCAAAAAAACAAGTTTAAAACAGTTCTTACTTTCATTAAAAAGTACTTCATAACTTTAAACGCCCCAACAAGGTCACTAACGAGTTTCGCGCAGGTTATACTCGACGTTTGCAAATTGCACTTCATTTAGTGACTTTACAAAACGTTTTCAGTCTTTTAGTAGCGAAATAGAATACTACCAGTAAAACCTGATTGTGTACACTTTCCTACATCGATGGGTCATGTAGTTTTGGTTATTGTGAGTTGTGAAGATAGACAAATAGTAAATACCAGTTAAATCTGAACTCTGATTGTGGACAAACTTTCCAATATTGATAGGTCATGTAGTTTTGGTTATTGTAACGATATCAAAATATTATATACCAGTTAAACCTGGACTCTGCTTGTGTACAAACTTGTTTACATTGTTAGGTCATGTAGTTTTAGTTATTGTGACTATAACAAAATAGAGATACCAGTTACACCTAGTCTCTGATTGCGTGTAACTTTCCAATATTGATAGGTCATGTTATGTTGGTACCATGTAATTCGATTTGCGGTTGGCCTGTACACGGTAACGTACTTGGTGGCGTGATTTCGGTGTCGTGCAACATGCAACGTACACAATCGAGTTTACATGTCAATTTATATGACCTCGTTGGAATACCATGTTAGCTTTATTTTCCTTTTTCAAGTTTTTGTTTTTTTTTTTTAATTGACCACGTTGGAATACCAGTACAATTAAGTATAGTAAGCATTATTGTGTTGTTTGTATTCATTAAAAATTAAATTACTCTTAATGTCTGTTTCATTGATGTATACATTTTAACCCGACTGAAGGAAGGGTAGGGTATTGTTATAAGGTATTATTGGGATTTTTGGGTTCTCAATATTGGCGTAATTCGTAGTAATTATGGGAATGTAAAAATTATCTAAAATAGTAAATCGATAATCACAATCTGCTAGCATACATTTTAAACTAAAATCTAGGCCTTTTACATAAAATGTTTTAAATAACAAATAATCCTACAAACAGTACTTACAAGAACCACAACATAAAAAATAAACTGCAACAAGATTAAATCTGGCTACCGTTCAGTAATCCACTTTGAATGACACTCGTGGTCCGCTGCCTGGCATAGATTTCGCTCACCGTGCACATTTCAATCCAAGATTTTATCTTAAAATTCACGGATGCAACATTTCTGTACTTTATAAAAAACGTTAATATAAAGTTGACTCTAGGTCTCTTTTTACATACGTACGCCTTCACGCCTGTCTCCCATAGGGGATGACAGAGACTATGGAACTCCAATTACTACGTTTCCTACATACCTCTTTCACATACTGACCAAATCAGTGTTTCCCTTCACCATACTATAGTAAGAAACCTTCATTCTGAGTTTGAAATCATGAATCCATTTTGAGTAAAGTAAACGTGGTAATTAATGCTTATTCTTCGCATAAAAATAAACCCTTACCGACAGACATGCTGATGATGATTTTTTATTTCAGGGCTGTTCGTAATCAAAGTGAGCTCAGAATAATTATGTCCGCTACAAATCTACAAGCACTTTTCTCTTATGCGCTACGCTTGCCAGAACTCGTAGCCGTAGCCGTAGCCGCTACGTAATCGTAGCCCGTTCGTAGCAAGCTCATTATCAGTTACTATGGCGCTACGCATTTCGTTTCTTATGTAACTGTAGGAATTGAGTTTGTTTTTCTTTATCGTCTTGTTAATCTGTTATTCGATGAGGGTGTAAGCAGTGATATTAATGAATTATGTAAATTGAATGTACATGATTAATCACTTTATACCGTGGGGCCATTAATATTGCAATGAAACCTCATATTTAGTGTCTAGTCAAGAGCAGCAATGTAAAAATTCTTACAAATATTAAAAAATGATATATCAAAACAAGTAAACATAGAAAATCTAGCGTGTTCGCGGTTATTTCCTTCCAACAACGACCTTTGTAACCATATTACTTGTTCAGATATAAAACGCCAGATTACCATTGCGATAAAACAAGCTAAAAGTTAACAACCTCTTTGGGGGCAAACTACACGAGCTACAACCAGCCAGTAATATAACACAAAATAAATAATTTTTTTTATAATAAAGGTGTTTGAACTCTCACCTTTTTGCCGCGTCCTATATTACGCGTGGTATGACCAGCGTAAAAAAATCTTACTATAAATTTACTTAGGCATGTGTGTCACGATGCATGCAACAGAACTTTATTGATTTCGATACAGACATCGTTAAAGGTTTGTTAACAATTCACAAGTTCTTTGAAGCTTGCAATCTATATATTGCGCAATGTTTTTATCCGATTACTATAGAGGTACAATAGGAGAACCGACGAACGAGAAAGATATACCAGAGTGGTCATTAAAGGCAGTGTTTTTTATGTCTAGTACTTAATATGACTAAAACAATGTTAAACGGGCAGACGGATCACCTGATGGCAAGCAATCGGCGTTGCTCATAGGCACCCGAAATACCAGGGGCGTTACAAGTGCATTACCGGCCTTTTGAGAATTGGGAATTGGAGGATTGTGAGGGATTCGGGGATTGGGGAGACTGGGGGGGGGGGTGATTGGGCCTCGATAATATCGCTCACACGACGATTTTTCTGCCTTTTGTTTATTTAGGAATGTTCTTGATCAGGTGCTCAAAAAAATTACAATGCTTTTTGTATATCTAGGAATGTTAGGTAATTTCCTTGCAATCTAGATATTGCGATATGTCTTTATCCAAATACTGTACAATAGAAAAACCGACAAACGAGAAAGACAAAAGCTTTGTAATTTTCCTATTAATACGACGTACTGGGAAGTCTGACGACGTCTATTATTTGGCAATAGGTGCATTCCTATTATGTACATCGGTCCTTGTGCATTGGTTTCATTTTAAAGATTTGAATGTGATAGTCGGTACCCCGACACTGTATTTGAGTTACTACTGTGTGAGAGAGAGACCTACTACTGAGATATTCCAATTCAAAGATGCAGATTTAATAAGAGAATGCTGCTGTTTTGCCTTTGTTAAATGGTCTTAAGTACTCACGAGAAATCTTCTAAATTTCATGCAAATGAAACCATAAGCAAAAAGATAGTGATATATAGCTTATAGATCTATATTTTGTATTTCATCCCACACATTGACCCCAATTCGAACTACGTAACTAAAAGGACAAACATGATGTTACGTCAGATTACATAACAGAACGGCTCTTCTAAACACAACAACGATTATGTAAATGTCAATGACATAATCGAAACGATATGTATGTATGTATGTTTGTTTGTGACAATTGGGTAGTTTCCAGGGTATCAAAATTAAAAATCTAATTAGTCCGTCAGTTAGATAATGAAAAAATATCAGACACGTATTTTTTATTTTCTCGTATTAAGTTTCGATACTTAGATAAAATGGCGCTAAGTTTAGGAGAGGGAGTTCGTTACGTCATAACGTGCTACAAAATGTGGCACGCTGTGACGTCATACGATATTTCAAATTAATATATCGTCGGAAGTATTTAATTTTGTGAGAAAATAAATACGGGTCTAATATTTTAAATTAATGTACCAGACAAACAATTGAATAAAATTTAGAAAACTACCCTATTCTGAAAATATCAGTGAACATTAACCCGTAACTGACCCGTAGGTAACTATGTGACCATTCGTTTTAAGTTCAAGTTATTTACCGAATATAAAATGTAAATTATAGTTGTTTACTTGGCTCTATACTTATGTGCTTACATTCATTCATTTAGAGGTTGTTGGAAATGGTTGCATTTTAGAAATAAGGGGTCTGATTGTATTGTTCTTTCAATTGTAAAATGAATGAATGCATATTCAACATTTTATAATCTTGCGTTTGTTTTCTGATATTATTTTCTGATGTTACATTGCTTTTATTCGAATGCTTATTAAGTGCACTAAAACACTATAATAAAAATATTTTATTCGTAACAAAGATGTTAACGTAAGAAGAAATATTTTATTAATTACTAGCTGACCCGGCAAACTTCGTACCGCCTAAAAAATATTTTTCTCGCCTTTTAAACCTTCCCTGGACTTCCACGAACATTTCAAGATCAAAATTAGACAAATCGGTTCAGCTGTTCTCGAGTTTTAGCGAGACTAACGAACAACAATTCATTTTTATTTATATAGATTAAAAATATTAACTGTGACATAAGAAAGAATTTACTACAATATCCACTTTTAGAATTGGAAATCGCACTTTAAGGGCCGATTTTCCCTTCCGCCTCACCCAGGCGGGAGCAGTCATTCGATGATTTTCCCCCCTTAAAAAAAAAAAAAAAAGGGCCGATTTTTCCAACGTTAAATTTTATTATAGGAATAAGGTTGAATATTTGACAATTCTTCCATAATAAAAATTGTCAACCGTCAAAAATTAACTGACGATTGGAAGGTTCAGGTTTACTATAGAGCACACTTATACCACTACTACTATTCATAATTTTGACTGTAACTTGAACTTTCATTGTAACTTAAAAGAGACAGACCTCTAAGTTTGTTTCGGCATTTCTTCTCAGAGTAGTCAGTTAGGAAATGTCGGCCTCGTCGTTCGCTTGATAAAATTGACGTGTAAAAGTGCTGCCTGTAGCCGAAATAAATTTGCAGAAATAAATTCAACTGTTTCACTTATTTCACTAACAACTTTCATAAAACATTTTTCCACTCTTCTACAAACAAAATGACAGCAGTTACAAATGTATTGTTTCAGAGATGGAAATCGTGCCCGAAGGGAAAAACTTTCGATTGGTTACAGAAGAAGAGCTCCCAGCGGTGGCCGATATCTTAGTGCAGTATATGCCTGAATCTCTAAAGGTAATTTTACGAGTTTTCATCTTAAAACATTTTAGATTGAAGCATAAAAACACCTTTAATTAAAAACTTTTATTAGTCCTATTAAACTCACATAAATATATTAGTCTAGTTTGAGGTATTTGTGTCCAGTAAGGACATCGTTGGAAGGACATGGAAAATACGAAAAATAATTTAATACTAACATTTTGTCTACTAATTATTGTCATATTACAAAAATATTTTTTTCTCTTTACAAGTTCCTACCAAAGGAATAAGGAATTAAAACTATTATTTTGTTTTTTATTCTATTTCTAGTTTCATCAAACGATTCAAACATATCTAAACAACAAGGTGTGGGACTTCCATTTTTATGTAGCGAAGAATTGGCCTGAGGACCCGATCTGTCTACATTTCCCCGGCTGTACTAGTACGGTAAGTACCTACCTGATCTACTAAACTTTTAATACATGTCTCTGGACAAACCCCCCATCCTCAATCCCCAACATCCAGTTCCCATTTCCCAATTTCTAACCTCCAATCTCCAATCTTCAATCTCCAATCTCCAATCTCCAACCTCCAATCTCTAATCTCCAATATCCAATCTCCAATCTCCAACCTCCAATCTCCAATCTCCAAACTCCAATCTTCAATCCCAAATCCTAATCCCTAATATTCAATCCCAAATCCGCAAATCCCCAATCCTTAATTCTCAATGCCGATCTCCAACCTCCAAAGGTCAGGAAACGCACTTGTATTTATAACTCCCATGGTGCTGGTCACCCGTCCATGGGCGGCGTCGATTGCTTACAATCAGGTGATCCATCTGCTCGTTTGCCGCCCTACCATATAAAAAATAGAACTTCGTAAACATCAAACCATCCTTACTTCCTTACTAATATTATAAATCGGAAAGTGAGTTTGTTTGTTTGTTTGTTTTTTCCGCTTTCACGCCGTAACTACTAAACCGATTGCTTTGAATTTTTGCAGACGTAAAGTTAGAAGTCTGGATTAAATAATAGGGTACTTTTTATTCCGGAAAAATTGGTATTCCCGAGAGAAAACAAAAGTATTGGTATAGATGGCGCTGTGTGTATTGGTATATGTCACATAGGCTACTTTTTATCCTTCGAAGCCGCGGGTAAGAGCTAGTACTTTATAATTAACAAAAAGTGGGGGGCCTAGCCTAGGGCCTAGACAGTCACCCAACCTAAGAACCTATTTCAAGCCCAAAACGAAACGATTTGTCACCATTAAAACTACAATCCCATTTTTCACAGAACAAACAAAAATAGCTCTTACAACATTAAACTCAAGAGCCAATTTTCTATACCAAACAGTGGATCGTCAATTTAATACCAGTAATGCCTTCAAGAATGTCCATTTTCCTTCCGAAATTGAAAACAGAAACTACTTTCGTCCATTTCACGTCAAAGGCCTACATTAAATTATTCAAAAGTAGTTCTTTGTATCGTAGCAACTAGACCCTATTTCGCTTGAGATTAAATTTAAAGTAGATAGAGAAAACACGAACCGTCTTATTTTCTCTGCAGTATAATAATAATACACAAGAAATATCAATTTACATAAACTTAAGATGTTATTTTGAAATTTCTTTTTACTTCTGGAAAATAATGATAAAGTTTCCTGTGCCTACTGAAAGGTAATTTTTATGAAGATTGAGGAAAACTGGAGAAGGTAATGTTTCTGTTGAGTTTTGTTTTGTACGTATGTACATACCTACCTACCTACATAGGTAAGATTGACGATTAAGGAACAGTTTTTACAATACCTTGAAGATAAACCTCACACACCTCTACTTAACTAGGTACAGCAATAATCTCTAAACACACAAAAAATAAAGCTCATAATTGTATAAAAGATAAAACCCGTCCTACATTACTTTAATTATATCGAAACATTAACATTAAGGCCTGAATAAACGAAAATGTCATTACTCAACGAAAAGGTTAAGGGTTGTTGCTATTTTAATCCATAAAACGTGCTGCGGAAATGAGTCTGGGACGTGACGTTTGCGAGTTTACTTACTAACACGGCATAAGTATAAAAGGCTCACTTTTAAGAACACGCTGTATAATGAACTTCCGTGTATGAAAGACTTTTTTATTTTTGTTCGTCTTTATAGTGAAAGTAGTTAGGTTTATGTTTGTTTAAGATTTTCTGGCAATAGAAACTTCCTTAATTAAATTCGTGGAAATAATAAGCCCTCTTACACACTAGCGGTTGACCGCCTAAGCGGTTCGTCTCGACAGACGCGGTTGCCATAGCGGTTGCATATTAAATTGGAAAAGCGGTCAAACGCAGGAAGCGGCTAGCCGCGCGGTTGACCGCTAGTGCGTAATGGGGCTAATAGTGATTGTCTGTTCCAATGTTTAAAAAACATATACAACGTTCGTTAGGTCTTCTCCATGGGTTCACTCATAATATCTGCTTCATCGTCTTCATAATATCTTAGCGCATCGTATTATTTCTGTCGTAGGCTCTTAAACATGTCTTCTTATTATTTTGAACAGAGAAAATTTTGGCATCACTTCAAATATAGAATAAGATACAAGAATAAATAACGAAAAGTATTACCTTTTACAAATTGGAGTATCAAGTTAGAATTCCCTATTTAGAATTATCTATGCTAGTTGTACTTAATTTTCCTTCGCTGTTTTTTTTTTTCATTTTATCCATAAGATTTGTATGCCTACTGCATTCTATACTGTATTGTATGTGAGCTCTAGGGATTGTAGCACAGTGAGCAACTAACGAGCTATGTCACCGGTGTTTGCAACTCGGCATACTACATGCATTATTTAACTGTAAGCCAGCTTGCAACTCCGTAAGGGATTGAAAAGAGAAAATATTGCGAAACGAAAATTAGTTTCTTTTTGCTGTCTTTTTTTATAAAGTTTCTGAAGCAATGGTTTGGTTAAATAAAACTTTGTAGTTTTATGAATTACCAGCCTCTTTTGCCGCGATTTCGGTTGCGTATTTTTTTTTTTTTTTGGTTATTACGTTGTACGGTCTTCAACCGTACATGCTTTTTGATGACACTGCGCGTCATTTTTACCTAATTATAAATACACCGTTGCTACACACACGGACCAATGTGTATTTTAAACTACTTAAGAGAAAGGAATAGTCAATATCGACGAACTAGTGTACCTATCAGTAATACAACTTTACTTCTTCAACTACAACTTCGTGTTCTTTTCTCTTCACACTCCAACAATTAACTACAATCTCCAAATGTACGAACCGTACATACGTTAATTCTCTATTTATAAGATATGTGACATTTATACTATTACTAGCTGACCCGGCAAACTTCGTACCGCCTAAAAGTTTTTTCTCACCTTTTAAACCTTCCCTAGACTTCCACGAACCTATCAAGTCCAAAATTAGCCAAATCAGTTCAGCCGTTCTCGAGTTTTAGCGAGACTAACGAACAGAAATTCATTTTTATTTATATAGATATAACTTTTGAGTAAAGAATGAAGTTAATGCTTATTTTTTTTGTATTTGTTAAATTTAAGCCGATAGTGAAGTATTCTTTAGTTGTTTAAACATTTAGCGCTTGTTTCATTTCATCATATAAGTTCCCAGTAAACTTATACATATGACAGATAGTTGAATTTAGGTTCTTTATTCAAATATATCTGGTACACAGTGATACATTGGCCGATAGGTCGCAAATGCGACTGCCGGTTCGATCCCCGGGTCGGGCAAAGTATTACTGGGTAAAAACTTACTAAAAATTTATCAGTAGTAGCACCCCCTATTACATGGGACTCATAACATAAATAGTGAAAAGTTGTACAGTGGCATAATGTGCAACTCTACCCCTTCGCGGATAAAAGGCGTGATGTTACGTTATTTTACAGTGATACATTTAGATGTTGTGTAACAGGCCCATACGCCTGAATACTGAAAACGCCACACATTTTAAGTCGCGCTTAAGTAAGTGTAGGTATAGTTCTGTCACTTCAAAATCTTTGTAAAATGACAGAGATGGCACGATATTCAAACACAACTTCAAATTGAGTAGCCTTTCAGTATTCGAGCGTTAATCTATTAACACTTTCAACTTTATTACTTGGTATTTCACAACTGACACCACAAACAGCCCACTGGCCCACTCAAATTGGAGCAAAAGAAATTCAATACCCATCGTGTTATACCATTAAGTTGTCATCGTCTTCCCCTCCCCCCTTCTAGACATCACACAGGCTGTGACGTAAGCGGTTTAAGAGCACGTCTGCATAAGAGCTTCTTTGCTAAGCAAAACCTCAACTTCTCTTAGAAATACAGGAAGAATTTTAAAGAAGAATATTGAAAAATATACATACCATCACGCCTTTTTGTTCTCTAAGGGGTAGGCAGAGGTGCACATTACGGCACTTAATGCCACTGTACAATGTAACACCCACTTTTTACTATTTATGTTATGAGTCCCATGTAATAGGGGGTGAGCCTATTGCCATATACCGGGCACAATTCCAGACTCCGTGCTGCTACTGAGATTTTTATAAAAACTCAGTAACATTTTGCTCGACTCGGGAATCGAACCCGAGACCCCTTGACTGGCAGTCGCACTTGCGACCACACGGCCAAGGAGGCAGAGCAATTGAAAAATATTATAAAGTGTAAATTATATTTGAAATCGCCAATCCGGCTTTGATCAACCTTGGTGATTATTGCTTATTCTATTTCCATGTGTGAAGAAATCTTTTTTTAGCAGTTGGACAATTAAAGGCTATTGGTGATAATGTTTTCGATCGATTCGAACTAGAAAATAAGAATCTGTTTTCTAGAAACTACCACAGAATATATTTCATTAAATGTGAAACGACTTTTTCATTTTCGTTGTGAACTAAAGGAAAACCCTTTTTTAACCGTGATTCTAGCATACTAATAAACACATTTCAGTGTTCATTATTAGTCCTACATAATAGAAGACAGCCCTGTTTCCTAACTGATTTACACACTCACCGAAAACTTTGCACTTAATGGCCGCTCTTATGACCTAGAAGTACTTTAGATAACTCCAAAGATTCTCACTAAATCAGTTTACTAAGATCCTACTTCATTTCGTACAAGAGTCTAGTAATCCCGACTATACTTCATATTATGAATGCGAAAGTAATTTTTTTTTTTATAATTTTTTTATTGCATAAGCCGTTAAACGAGCAGACGGATCACCTGATGGTAAGCAATCGGCGTCGCCCATGGACACCAGGAGCAGCAGAGACGTTAAAAATGTGTTACCGGCCTTTTAAGGATCGTTGGTGATTGAGGAATTGGGTAGATTGGGGAAGGGGGGGGGGGGGAGGTATTATAATTGGGTCGCCGGTAACCTCACTCACACGACGAAACACAACGCGAGCGTTGTTTCACGTCGATTTTCTGCGAGGCCGTGGTATCACTCCGGTCGAGCCGGCCCATTCGTGCCGAAGCATGGGTATCCCACTCTACTATATATTTGATGGGCCGACGTTTGGCCATTATCTCGCCTGGTGGTAAGCAATGATACATTTGTTACCTCTTAACGCTTTATCTATTCATCTAACCTACTTGAAAAAATACCTACTGCCTTTTTATTCGGCCTTCCATAATGCATGTATTTATGAAGCTTAGAATAATTAATCTGCTTAAAACGCCTAATATGAGAGATTAATTTTCTTCCTGACTGCTGCTGACGGTATTAGGAGAAAGCCCATCTTCGATTTATAATCGGGGATTATTGTATATTTCAACGTTTAAGAGTAAAGCTGAGATTACGATACAACTTCATTTCTAATCTTGCCTCAATTTTGGCAATGATAAGGGATAAAAAAACCTAAAATAATCTTGGTAGATACTGGAAAAGTACTTTTTACTGTAGGCAGTTTTAAGGCTTTTTTTTAAAGGGGGGAAAATCATCGAATGACTGCTCCCGTTGGGTGAGGCGGGAGGGAGTGTCAGACTCTTACTGACTAAAAACCACCCCGTTCCTTCTCCTGCACGTCGAGCCGAAGCCCCGGTTACCCGTTAGGTTCTCCGCGACTAGTTTTAACTACGACTAGTTTTAACGACTAGTTTTGATTTGTCTCTTGCACACGACAGCATATTAAGCAATCCTAAACTGTCAATTGGTTTTCAACTTTAAAACAAAACGATATAGTGCACAATCTATCATCTAAGTTTAGCAACTGAATGTACTCTGTATCCAATACTAGGACAACAAAGCTTAATGCTACGTCACTTGGCTCATTTGATAGCTTGCCAAATAATAGCTACCTTCGTCAAACAAATACCTATTACACAAGACGTTGAGGCCATACCCGGCTTATGTTGCCCTCTTCATTATGTAGAGTAGTCTAGTGTACACGATAATCTACTAAAATCTAGATTTTGTTCTCATACTTAGTCATTTTGGAGCGCTAGGTGTGTAATATCGTGCTTTCATTACTTTTATTTTACTGGGACACATTAAATGTGTGGTACTTACTACTCTGTCATTAATTTTTTTTTTAATCAGTTTAAAAGTTTTTTTTTTATTGGATAAGCCGGTAAACGAGCATACGGATCACCTGATGGTAAGTAATGGGCGTCGTCTCTGGACACCCGAAACACCAGAGGCGTTCCAAGAGCGTTACCAGCCTTTTGGGGATTAGGAATTTGAGGATTGTTGGGGGTTCAGGGATTGGGGAGATCAGGAAGAAAAGAGTAATTGGGAAATAACCTCACTCACACGATGAAACATAACGTTGTTTCACGACGGTTTTCTGTGAGGCCGTGGTATCACTGCGGTCGAGCCGGCCCATTCTTGCCGAAGCATGGCTCTCCCACACACTACGCACACTCAACTCACACACACTAAATTTGAGATATCTGATTCGATCCCTATCGTATAAGTACATTGATGTTTTACTTAGAATTACTACGCTTTATCAACATTATTATTTTAAAATATTACAATAGTTAACAGGCATTAAACAAACCGCCATTTTCCATTACATAAATGCTTAGATAGTGCACCAACAAATATGCGTAAAATGTGCTTAGGTAATGTATATTCATATGAAAAGCCCTACATAGAAAATGTAATTTGAAATTTAAAACGTAGACACACCTTTAACTAATGACGGCACATGAGACCTAAAGCAATTAGAAACTATTAAAAGAACGGAGTAAAATTTCAACTATGTTTAAAATGAGTTTTTACAGCAAAAAATGTATGAAAAGAGAAGTATTTTTTTTTATAGTTTAGTATTAAACTGTCAAACACCAAGCGGTCACCGGTGACCACAACCTATTGTTCTATAATTGTGTCTATAATGACGGTACTCGACGAGTTAATTAGTAATGTGGATAGGGGTGTGTATATTACAAAGAAGTTTAATATAGCTAGACCTTTTACAAGTCGCGGAGAACCTAACGGGTTACCGACTCGACGTGTAGGAGAACGAACGGGGTGGGTTTTTGTCAGTAAGAGTCTGACACTCCCTCTCGCCTCATCCAGGCGAGGAGCTGGCATTCGATGATTTTCCCCCCTTAAAAAAAGGCATATTTATAAAGATCCAAAAAGGTGTTTAAAAAATGTCGGACGTACATAAGTACCTATGTGTGCGTGTGTAATGGGTTACCACGTTACCAGACTTAAGAAAATGACAGATGTCCTTCATTTCAATGTGTGTATGTTCTGAGTGTAAGTCTATTGTAGCCAGGTGCCACAGTCGTTTCAAGACTGTGTCCGCCTTTTTTTAAACGTCCCAAAGACCCCCCCTTCACCTTTGTGAATTTCGCAATGAAAATATGGATTATCATGCATGACAGATGATACTTTATCCTACTCATGCCAATCGATCCTTGTTCATCAAAATAGAATGAGATAAACGTTAATAATAAATTCCATCTATTTCGGGTCTCCGATATTCTATACCAATTAAGCTTACCTACCTACGTACGGGAATCTAATACCTTTTAATCATTAATGACCATTTCGCAGTAACTTTGATCGTGTTTGTGTCAATTTTCGGTACATATTCGAGATAAATCCTGACCTTTTCCAGACAGAATCTAATTTTAGACACAGAAGGTACCTAGACCTACTCGTTTGATTGCCTCCCAGCCCAGACAAGACGTCGTAAAATAAAGCCGTCTTTATGCGTCAAGCTTTCCCAAATCGCCTGACAACTGAACGATTTTAATATTTTGTTCACTTTGAAATGTGTGTTTAGGATTATATGTCGATCCATATTTGAAGTACCCACCCAATTCAGGATACATTTTCTTTGGAAAAAAAATCTGAGTAAAGTTAAGAATCACTCGTGCTTTAAAGTTTCGCGTACCTAATTAATGTGGCTGGACTTATGCTGATGACTTACGCGATATTTCGCAGAAAGAAGAATAAATACCGTTACGTTCTTAGAGTATTTAACCATACGCTAAAATTCCCTGGAAAATTTTACACCAGCGAAGGACATGTTAACAACAAAACTGTCAGATAAAATGCTGAAACGTATCGCTTGTGAATGCGGCTGACACGTCATAGGTACCTACGGGTGTCAGGAACAGATATTGAAACGACATCCCTTCCCCTCCTCTTCCCCTCCCTTCCCCCTTGAATCCAGAAGCTTACAGTACTAACGCGACCTAGTTGACTAATTACCTATATGACCTAGATGACTTAGTGCTTCTGTGAGGATTACCACTTCTGAAAGGATAATTTGGGACAAATAAACTACATGTCATTAGTGCTTTCAATGTAAATTTCGCATAAAAATGTTAAAAACGACTCACAAAATTTGCAATATAAACGTAACCCCTCCGATACTTTTTTTTTTAAGGGGGGAAAATCATCAAATGACTGCTCCCGCCTGGGTGAGGCAGGACGGAGTGTCAGACTCTTACTGACTAAAAACCACCCCGTTTCTTCTCCTGCACGTCGAGCCGGAGCCCCGGTTACCCGTTAGGTTCTCCGCGACAACCTCTCCGATACTAAAGACTATACACCTGAACTAAATCTTTTTTTAAATAACGTGTCCCCTTTACATTCCAGCCGAACAAAACCACATATGAAAGCGTGACAGTATTTTGTCCATCGGAGCGGGCGGAGCTGGTGGACCTGCTGACGACAGAGGACATACTCCTGGATCTCACCCAGCCATTGTACCTGAACTTCACTCACGAAGCCATCGTGAACCGCTTCGAGAAGCACTATGAAGCGCACGACAAGATTACTGGCGACGTCTACGTCTGTGATAACCCACCTCAAGACGACAGTACTGATGGGTAAACACATATAAATGTCCTTTTCCATCATTAAGGCCGACTTTAGTAAAGTTTGGTCAATTCTATACCAGTGTCAGTTTTAGGATAGATTTTCAGATTGTCAGGCTTTATGTTATCTGGCATTCGATTAACTTTTCAAGTGTTACATAATAGTTAAAACTGTTTCAGATTGCCACCGGACGTGGAGTTAGTTCGCTTGCAGCCCGAGCACATGAAGGCGGTTCACGACCTGTACCCGGCCAGTGACATAGAATGCCGCGAAGTGTTCGAGAAGCTGGTCGCCGAACTGCCCGCTTACGGAATTTTCGTCGAAGGAGAGTTAGCTGCTTGGATGGTTCAATCGTACTACGGCGCCATGTTCTCCATGCAAACTAGGCCCGAATTCCGCAGGAAAGGCTACGGGATATACTTGGCCCGCCGTCTTACCAAAGAGGTAGCAGCCCGCGGCTACAAACCCTTCGTCGTCATTCGTCCGGAGAACGACGCGTCCCGGTCTCTGTACACGAAGCTCGGTTTCGAGAAACGTTTCCGAACGGTGCGCGCCGTTTTGCGTCCCCGCTAACGCGTTAAAGTTGATCACTAGCAGATTTTATTTTTTTAAGACTTTTGAATAAAATCAATTTAGCTTGCGATCTTTGATCGCCTAGAGAATTTTAGTAGTAGCTTTAAGATGGAGCGGCTAGTGCTCTCGGTCCGACCCGGGTCAATATGACAAGTGATAGCTCCGTTGTGGCGTTTGTACGAGCCGATATCAGTCGTGCCCTCGGGTCTTCAGCCAATCAAAATATTTCAAGGGCTCCTGGTGACTGGTATAACTCCGGCTCCGAGTACAAGTACACTTAGACTTTCTATACATAGGGCCTCTGCGATAATTAATTTTCAGCCGTTAGCGTTTTTAATCTCCTAGTATTTACTTCTTGATAATGACAACGAATGGCTTTCTTGTTGGGCGTTACATACAAGTCTGCCTACATTTTGATACGTATATAGCTGATGCCTCATCACGCTTCCAGTCAGATTCGAGAGCTATAGCCGTTGCTGCGTTCTCCGGCGCTAGCCTAGAAACTGATCTCAAAATACTGAGTTCACTGTACTTTGGAACCTGGCATTTAAAGATCCGTAGGTCTCGTCACTAGTACGCTACGTTGATGACAGGTTGAGGACACCAAACAACCATAATTTAAAAATTAAAACATTCCTTCTAGTATTAAGACAATAAGTTATTTATGTTAACGGAACATGTAGGTACCTTCTATGTGACGAAGGCTTAAGAGATCTTTACATGTATCGGATACCCAAGATTTGTGAACCTGGTCATACTCATTTAGGCGAACGCTTCATTACCACTCGTTAACCGAGCGGAAACTATTCTGTCTCATGGTTTATAAAATTTTTGGGACCCGTTTTGATCTGTGTGATAAAAATGTTAGAATGTAACATTGAAATACTTGAAAATTACATGAGAAAGAAAGGTTGCCGACGTTGCACCCAGTTTGCACAATTCGACAAATTTTATCAAGCACCTTTTAAAAATGAACAAACGCGACGAATACAAAAAAAAATATAAAAAGTAAAAAAAAAAACGTTAAACAATTTCGAACATTTTAATTTCTAAACGTAAATCAACAAGTGGGACTGTTGAGCAATGGGAGAACATGACAATTACTTTTAATTTTAAATTTAAAAATGTGATTTGCGATACAAAACAATCAAAAACAATAAATAAATGAACTTGTTGTCTAGATATTTTCATAAATATAGAAGTAAAAATAACTGTGACTAGATTTCTGTTAGTTATTATTAGTTTTTTATAGTATACAAGTTTTATATATCAAGTACATGGAAAATCATTTAAAATTTGATACGAAAACGTAGATAGGTAGGTATTATAATACGCGAATGTATTTTACGATTGTAATAACGTATCTAATTTAAAAAAAATCGTTTGCTATCCTTATACCTGAGTATTAATTATTTAGAATCATTAAGTTAATCATCGATTTATTAAGTAATTATGTAATTATATGGATATTATTGTGTGATATGATAATATTTATTGCTTTTTGAATATTTTTATTAATTTGGCCAATTTGTAGTATTTATTCTGTCTTCCTAAGACGTTATTATAAGTATGATGGACAACTCTTATGACAAAACGAGTGGTGTGTAAAAAACTCGATATAAATAATTATGATAAATAATGAATGAATTAATTACGCTATTCTTTCTTTCTTTACTGGATAGAAGATGTACCTAGTTTGTATTGTATTGTATTGTATCCATTTATTTGCACGTAGTATTAACTCCGCTGTTCTGAAATCAAAGAGATCGGCAAAGGCCTGAATTGTAAAATTAAGTATTGCTCAATAATTGGAGCTTCCGATTATCAAATTCAATAAATTGCCAAATTATTGATTGTGTATTGTTCTTGCATTTTATTATTGTAATTTATTATTGATTACTTACTTATAATATGAATTGTGCTTGTCTTTATTTGTGTATAGTTATTGAACTGGACGATAGATTGGACGAAGATTTGGTATTACCTACTATTCATTGTTTTGTCATTTCTACGAGATTTTTCCTATAAACAGGTGGTGTGTTACATGTCAATTGTGATGTTCAACTGTTTATTTGAAAACGTAGGTACACTCATTCCATAGAATCATGCTAAAAGCTTACCTACATACGAGTAGGAACATGTCGAATAAGTAGATCGAGATTTCTTGAAATTATTAATTATAAGTAACATTTTCTCTGAACACTCCCTTAACTTACTTATGTATCTAATAAAATAAATAAAATATAAACTAAAAGGACAAGCTTTCCGTCCTATACTGCAGTTGACATAATCGCAGTGTACTTCAATTGAACAGAAAATATTAAAGAATTTAGGATCCATTCTGTATTGTATTGTTTACCGGTTTGTCACCTAACTACCAACCTTGCAAAGGTATTGAGAAAACAATAAAAATAAACTTGAAATGTTCTGTTTTATTTTACGATGCCCTATCCTATCTATTTGTCGCGGAGAACCTAACGGGTAACCGGGGCTCCGGCTCGACGTGCAGGAGAAGGAACGGGGTGGTTTTTAGTCAGTAAGAGTCTGACACTCCCTACCGCCTCACTCAGGCGGGAGCAGTCGTCTGATGATTATCCCCCCTTAAAAAATCCTATTTATTTAAGTACCTTAAATAAAACCAGGTAGTTAATTAGAACTACCTTAGTAGATAAAGAAATCTCAGCCTGGGTTCAATTCCCGAATAGAGCAAATTATTTTATTCACATTTTATATTTCTAAAAGACATAACATAACATCACGCCTTTTTATCCCTGAAGGGGTAGGCAGAGGTCACATTACGACACTATGTCATGCCAATGGCATTGTACAATGTAACACCCACTTTTCAATGTTATGAGTCCCATGTAATATGTGGTAAGCCTATTGCCATATACCGGGCACAATTCCAGACTCCAAGCTACTAGATTAAAAAAAAACTATTAATACTTTGCCCGACTCGGGTATTAAACCTGAGACCCCTTGCCTGGCAATCGCACTTGCAACAATTCGGCCAACGAGGCAGTCGTTAATATATATATTTTAATATATTTCTAAAAACTTGGTAAGAAATACAGAGACTAATGCTCTAACTAACAAATGCCTTGTGCTCTCCTGATGCTCTGAGAACTTACGAATTCAAACCAGCTCCGCTCCTGTAATATAGTTTACAAATGCTGGATAGTCTTAGGTAGTACTAGCTATTTTTACTTAACAGGTGAAACCTGGTAACATTACGCAGTGAATATTTCATGATCTAGAGTAGGCCTTCCATGAACTCCATACGAGACCTGGCCCATCAAAATTGCGCATTGCAAGCTTTACGTCAAGTTACCTACTTAATTGCAATTATATAAAGCAACATGTGAACTCAATGATTGAAGTACAAATCTAGTCTAGATAAAATTATTTTATTTAAATGGTAGTTTTCAAAAGGCAAAAACTATGTGGAAGTAATTATAATTCCCATGCCTAATGATAATTAATTATAGTAATGCCCATGGCATTAAGTCCCCCTTGTGCATTGTGCAATCTGCAATTTCATGAATATAAATACCCAGGCATGTAGCTACTTAGCTTATTGGTTTTATTAATCATTCTAATCAATTCTCAAATAAAATTAGTTTCGTTTTGATTTTCGTGCTCTATATAGCGCTACATGGCTCATGCCACGCTCATGCCTATTGCCCTTTATGCTATAAACTGTAATACGTTCCGTCGTCGTTTCGTTTTGCATGGGATTTAAAAATGGAATAATAATTACCAGAGTAAAAAATACTAGTGTAGTGAAAAGTAACATCAAAAATAAAAACTGTCATCCGGTTACAGTGTATAATCTATGACTATGACTGTCATTGTCAAAGCAGTGCATCATGGCGACGGTATCGGTAGACCAATGTTTGATTCATTAATCAATGACTGTTTTACGTTGCTATCTTGTTAATTATTACTTGTTGTAGTGCTACAAATATTGTTATGCGTACTGAACGTTAAATCTAATTTGTTAAGACTATGACGAGCTTGATAGATAAAATAGAACAACTAATAAAACGTGAAAAAACAACACCCGAGCGTAAAAAAGATGACTCGAAAAAGTCATCCAGTGAGATTCTCTCGGAATTGTTTAGTGCTTTTAACGCAGATCCCCCGAAGATAGATGAAGTTCCTTCTAAGAAATCAAAGAAGAGTAAGAAGAAGCATAAGAAAGAAAAGAAAAAACGCAGCCGGAGTTCTAGCAGCGACAGCTCGGACGATAGTGAGTACACACATAAGCGGAAAAAGAGAAAAAAGAGTAAGTCTAAAAAACGCGCTAGAGAGAGCCGGTCGCCCTCATACCCGTACCCACTAACACCGGTGCGAGTTAAACCAGAAAATGACCACGTGAAAATAAAACATGAGAAAGAAATCAAACAAGAAGATGTTAAACCCAAGGAAGTTAAACTTGAAAAGGATGTTAAAAAGCATGCGGCAATTAAAATTGAAGATGATTCTATTTCATTGTCACCTCCACATCCCATGTCTATGTCTACAGACTGTAACAAGACTATAGACTTACGCGATAAACTGGACAGTAAGAAGGCTGAGGCTTGCAATGCAGACAATGATAAGTCTAAGGGTAAAATTCAAATAAAGAATCTTAAATTTAGTGCTGTATATGAGGAGACGGTGAAGAAAGCTGAGGAAGAGGCTAGAAGGAAAGCAGAGAAATATGAAGAAGGTGAATACACAGATTCCTCTAGCAGTACTGAGAAGGAAATTGTATGCAACTCACAGTTTCCTAAAACTTCAGATCCTGGAGGTATACTTAAGAAACAAGCTGAGGAAGAATCAAAAATGTAAGTAATATTTTATCTTTATTAGAGAGTCGAGAAAGCCAGTTATAGATTTGTTTGTTAATACACAGCTGTTAAATGGCCCTCTTTGTGATGTAAAGATTCTTTAAACTGTTGTAATGTGTAGTATACAATTATTACTATATATGAAGTCAAGTTAAAACAATGTTTCAAAAATATATTAATCTATTTATCCTAATGTCTTTAATTTACAGTGAAACAAATGGCGATTCAAAATCTGCTTCAAAGAAAAGTAAAAAGTCTGAAAGCTCATCAAAATCATCAAGGCGAGATAGAAGTAAATCTCCTAAAAGGTATGTAACTAGATATACTAATTCAAATTAAAATTTACTAGGATAACAACTATTACCGGATACATTTCGGTGAGTGTGCAGTCCATTGCACAACTTGAATCTCCCTAGTCCTTTCCATCATCGTACCACAAGACAATCGGCAAAACGTCACTGATTCATGGTAGATGTTCTGCCCACAGGCACGAAGCGCTTCGCTTCAAGCTTCCTTGTGCGTACTGCTAAAGAGTGGAATTCTTTGCCAGAGTCTGTATTTCCTGAAGGGTATAACCTGGAAGTCTTCAAGGCCCGAGTGAATAGGTTGCTTATGGGACGACATGCTCCATTGTAGACCGCATCATCACTTACCACCAGGCGAGATAGTGGTCAAACATCGCCCCATTGAAATATAAATAAAAAACAAAAATAGTACAAATTAAAACACCTAATATTGGTCTACTTATCACCTAAGACTTGCATATAGAACTCAACATTAAAATAAAAGTAACCTGATTCTTACAGCTATATTCATTACTTAATTACTGGTACTGACTGATGAAAAGAACCTGCTTTTTGTGTTTACCTGTTGTGATTCTATCACTACAAAAAATCCTATATTGATATAACTCAGTACAGGTTTTTTTGAAAGACAATTCAAATTGCAATCAACATCGAATGGATCCTTGAATTAATAAGGGCGACAACTAGGGGCTAATATTCCAGTGTCACTTAACCGCTTGAATGCACTGATATGAGACCCAATAGAAAATACACTGTGTCTCGTATGGATCCACATTTAGACACACGACGGGTCAAAGTGCTCCAGAAGTCATTTTCGACATTTAAAAAGAAAATGGGAACTCATAAATATAAATTTTTACCTATAATTTAAATTTTTTGTAACAGGTCTAGCAGTAAATCAAGGAGATCATCGTCAGCATCTAGGAAGCGTCATCATCGTTCCAGTTCCAAGACACGACACAGCAGTCGTTCACGACATCGGTCTTCATCTCGATCGCGAAGGAGGTCAAGGTCGCGATCTCGGCGAAGGTCGAGATCAAGATCACGACATAGGACTAGACGGTTGTCGCCTAGACATGGAGGAAGAAGGAGATCTAGGTTTGTGTAACTACTTATTTGTCTTTATAGTCACTAAAACTAACTCGTAGTTATAGGTCTACTGATGAAATTGTTGTTCAGTTGTCGCCATTTGTCAAAATAATATTAATTTTATATCAACGCATTGAACGTTTCAGATTTTACATATTTTAGATTCACATAGAAGAAATTTGCTTTAACTTTTCATAAAATAATCATGAAAAGTAGCATTACGTTAAGCATAATAACTATTGTACTCAAGGGCATTTGATAATTATCCACACCCAAATGCACATATTAACCAAGCTTCACCTGTTCATGTGTGACAAATACCTATAATTTTTTAAATTAAATGTTATGCTCATTTTTCATGTGTTTTAATTTCATCAAGATTTTGTTACAAGAAGTTCTTTTCACAGAATTATATAACATAGTATTTGTAACACAAATATTTATTAAAATTATAGTATAATGTAATTTTATTACTTAATTACTTAAATAAATTTCTTTCTTAGGTCACCAACCGGTGTTAAGTTAGCAGATAGTGAAAAGAAACGACTGCTAGAAGTTGCTAGAAGGAATGCTATAAACATGCTCAAGAATGGCGCTGTCCCCGCCGGAGCCGCCGCTTTGCCGCCACACACTAGGAATCAAGTAATGGCTGCAATTCAGTCTGGAGGTTAGTAAGATTACCTTTTATACTGGTAAAAACAGATTTTATGATGAAATGTATCGTAAATATTACAACTAGAGAGTGAAAGAGAAAAAGGATGACCAAATATACCTACCAAATACCACCTTCATTATAAGTTTTGTTTGTGATACGAACAATCCTTTTTTTTCTCTCTATCTCTCTTTGCTGTTAGTTTATTCGCCATACCTTATTTTTCGCTGATTTTCTACTTAAACCCTAAAGTATACAAAAAAAAGGTTGACTGTTTGTTGAAGAGAATGCCATATCCATATAGCATGAAGTTCGCCTTATGTGCCATAATAAAATTTTCTACATAAAAGAATAAATAAATAAAAAAATGATGTGTTCAATAGTCTCCTATGATGATGTACATTTCTATACTGCATGTTGTTTTTCGAAAACCCTTTTATTGAACCGGTTATTACTAAACTAAACTAATGTATACAGGGTGTAAACGGAATGCTCTATAAAAAATACTGACAGCTGATGATCAAAAACAAGTTCTATTTTCATAGAAGTAAGGAATGAAATGTTTCTTTTATGTAATAATACTTGTAATCGACTGCTCAATGCTGATTGCATAAATAACACGAAAACAAAAATGATTAACTCGTCGAGTACCGGTTTTGTAGACACAATGGGGATGATGACAGGGTATGAAAATTAAAAATATAATTAGTCCGTAACTTAGGTAATAAAAAAATATTAGACACGTATTTTTTTATTTTGTTGTATAATAAAACAATACTTGGATAAAACGAATCAAAGTTTAGGAGTGGGGGCTAAAACGTCATTTCTTAGTATAAAATGTACTGAGAAGTGACGTCACGCGACATTTCAAATCAATATATCTTCGAAACTTCGTTTCCGTAAGAAAATAAAAAATACGTGTCTAATATTTTTAAATAATCTACCAGACGGACATTAAAATAAAAATTAGTCGTCTACCCCATTATAGAACAATAGGTTGCGGTCACCGGTGACAGTTTGGTGTTTGACAGTTTAAATTGTAAAAACAATTTCTTTTTGTCAGCGTTTCGGGAGCGTTCCATTTACACCCTGTATTTAATTATGGGGACAGGTTCGAAACCTACCAACGGCAAGTACCAATGTGACTTTTTCCGAGTTATATGTACTTTCTAAGATTATCTAGACACCACAAACGGGGAAGGAAAACATCGTGAGGAAATTTCTAATAATTAGTTTGTAATCGCCAACCCGCATTGAGCAAGTGTGGTGATTAATGCTCAAACCTTCTCCATATGAGAAGAGGCTTTGCTCAGCAGTGGGCATTTATAGGCTGTTGATGAAATTAATGATGATTTTATCATTTCCTATTACAATATAATGTAAACAAATAATATTCTTAACAGGTAAATCAGTAGATGAACTGACAGACTTCTGCAAGCACTTGTCCAAGAAAGAAGCCCTAGGTGAACTATCATCTGTCTCATCAAACGACGATGATATGAGCGAGAACGAAGATACACTAGCATTCCACCATCCCTTCCTTGTTAAGGAGAAGGCTCCTATTGTTATGAACATAAGGGTGAGTTTTGTGTGCTTATTTCACATCTTTTGATAAGTTTATTGAATATATTTTGAGAATTTTATTTATAAATATTGTTTGCCAAACGTGATGCGAAGCAGCATTGTTATTATTATGTACTTTTAAGGTTTTCACTGGTGCGTTCCGGTTATTTTAGTGATCCCATGTTGTTGTCTTACACCGGTCATAACTTCAAATTCTGTGCTATTACAAATAATTAACGAATAAAAACAGCCAAATAATGCTTTGGAATCTAAACCAAAGACGCTTACTTGACAGTTTCATTTATGCCTACTCAACGAATTACTAAATTGATTACAACAATAGGCATGGCGACTATTTTTTAATTTTTTGTCCGTCTTTTAGATATTTTAAAAATCTTCGATACGTATTTTTTCTTTTTTCTCGTATCCAAAAAAACATGTAGATATTTTGAGTTAAAATGACGCGTGACGTCACACTTAGGTACGATTTCTCCGTAAGTGTGACGTCAACACCCCCCACTCCCTAACTTTAATGCGGAATAACTACGTATTCTTCTGTTAATTTGATAAAACAAAAAATACGTGTCTGATATTTTCGTGCGATCTTAATGACGGACTAATTACTTTTTTTATTTTTTTACCCTGTCGACACGCCTATTAATATCGTCGTAAATAATATTTATTTTTTCTTTCCAGGGAGGTGCTCCACTACCAATAAAAACGAATCCTCTTCCTATAGCCAATAAGGAGGAGCTAAGGCTTCAATTCCCCGTGTCTTCAGGATCTCAACATCGGGAGAAAGCATCAGAGTGGGTGCCCGTCTCACCGCCTAAGAAGGACATGGTAAGATTTTAATCTTATCTACCGTCCAGGCGGTCCCCGGTGACCACTCTCCACTTACTCCATTATAGACCTTATTTTCGATTTTAAGAGACTACTTTTGTATGAACAAATGTTGTGCATTTTACGTAATCGTGGATTAAGAAGTTATACTTATTTAGCCATAGAGCCTAGTTGTGATATTGCGATGAGTTTCCCCAATTTAACTCGAGCCACAGTCGTACGGTATTATGTACACTCCAGGTACAGCTAGCGGACCCTTACCTTTAGGTGAGCGTAGTAAATATCTCGACTGACCAGGTGTGCGGAAGATGGTCCTGACACAATATCTTCGGCGCAGCAGGTGTCAAATACTCATGATGATGACTCATAGACAGCCGTCTAAGAGTCATAGCCATGACTCTAAACTACTAGGGCCTTTCTCATTATTTCATGTGTGAAAACTGATATTTTGAATCAATCGAGTATGTCACACAATAGTTATTATACAATTGTGGTATTGTAATACTCTATTTTCAAGACTTTTCACAGAATTCTAGCCTCCACAGATACTTTAATCACTAACCATGATGATAATTTAATCTAAATCTTAAACCATTGTTGATAAAGTTCACAATTCCAAAATTTTTATTATTTACAGCAAGTAGCAAAGCTCAACCCCACTAACTCCACTAGTTCTAAGACTAAATCTACCACTGCCTCCACTTCTTCATCAACAAACACATGCACGGATATTGCCAAGTAAGTATCACCTTTATTGTAATGAATATAAGACATACTTTAAATTCACAATACAGTGTTCTAATATTTCCTTTTTGTTCTAGAATATCTGATAGATCTTTAAGTCCGCCTGCTTATATGAAAAGTTTCACTTCTGGAAGCCGTAAGTATAATTTTTATTGACATACAAAGATATTAGCTACAATAACATCTGCATGGATTGACTAAACGTTTCATACATTTCTTGTTCTGACAAAAAAGAAAATAAAACAAACAAAAGAATAATTTAATTTGACGCATATGACGTTTGAAAGAACTTGTTCCATTCTTCTAGTTTAACTCGCGTAACTGTTCCACAATCTTACTCGACTAGTTTCGACCTGTACCAGGAGCCCACAACCTCGTCAAACAATTACGAGAGAAACCCGTGCAACCCTATTTATTTAATAATCTGTTATTCATAATATAGTCTAGATAAACAACTTACTATGACCTACAATTATCTTTCTCTTATTACATAAGAGCTATTACTAGGTTTATATCTAATAATTATTGATTAATATTATAGTATTAAACTGTCAAATACCAAGCGGTCACCGGTGACCGCAACCTATTGTTCTATAATTGTGTCTGCAAAACCGGTACTCGACGAGTTAATTATAATTTACGGTTGCATGCCAAGGTCGTGAGCTAATTGGGTAGTTGCCAGGGTATGAAAATTAAAAATATAAATAATCCGACAGTTAGATAACGAAAAAATATTAGACACGTATCTGTTATTTTCTCGTTATACGAGATACATGGCGTTAACTTAAGGAGTGGAAGACTGTGTCACACGATATTTCAAATTAATATAATATATCATCGAAAGTATTTAATTTACTGGGAAAAGAAAAATACGTGTCTAATGTTTTAAATTAATCTACCAGACAGTATGTACCTACAACTGTGCTTAGAAAATAACTGTAAATGCAGAATTAGTTTGTTCTAAGTCTAACTAGACTCGAAATATCTCCGGATCACATCTATAGAAATCGTTATGTCTTGAGATTACACCCACAACCACTTTTTGACGGTTCTAATTTGCATATGAAATGGGAATCGGATCTACATATAAAAAACCTAGTAACTGTGATTTCTTAAGCCTTTTTGTAGACCAAGGGTTAAGAGGTACGGTGTATTTTTATTGTCTTGTATTACAGGTGAATTTTTTTTTCTTTATTTAGGAAACAGTCTCTTACAAATAAAATTATTACAATACAGTGTGATACATACAGACCTAGAGTTCCATAAAACAATACAATACGAAAAGGCACTGTTTTTAAAGGTGTCAAATAAGTAGTTTTTATGGGATAAGCCGGTAAACGAGCAGACGGATCACCTGATAGTTAGCAATCGGCGTCGCCCATAGACACTTGGAACACCAGAGGCGTTACAAGTGTGTTACCGGCCCTTTGTTAGGAATTTGAGGATTGTTCGGGATTCAGGGATTGGGGAATAAGGGGGAGGGGAGGATAATTGGGCCTCCGTTTAAGGAAGTAGTAAGAATATAAAAAGTAATTTATTTTAATGTAATGTTCTAGAGCTGAATTCAGTGCCTGCAATACCCGCGTTACCAGCTCCGGGTCCACAAGCTTATCCACCAGGCGTAGATGCACAGAAGATGGTACGTATAACTCGAATATTTACTCAAAGTCATAAATATATCTTTGAATTTTTCCATTTTTTCGTACTAAAACCTGTCAAATGTCTATTTTATTCTACATTTAAATCTGGTGTTTGAAAAATCTACCCTAAATATATAATTATATTCATTATTGAACAACTTGTAAAGAACCTATATCGGGGGTAGTGTTTAACATAACATAAACTCGTTGTAAGCAGAGGCATACATTACGGCACTTAATGCCACTGTACAATGTAAAACCCACTTTTCACTATTTATGTTATGAGTCCTATGTAATAGGGGGTGTGCCTATTGCCATATACCGGGCATAATTCCAGACCCCGTGCTACTACTGAGATTTTTTGAAAAAGCCCAGTAATACTTTGCCCAACCCGAGAATCGTACCCGAAACCCCTTGCCCGGCAGTCGTAATTGCGACCATTCGGCCAACGAGGCATCAGTGTTTACCGTAATAGCACACTTTGTGATGCAACCGTCTGTGCGCGTTTTAAATGTAATAACACCTATTTTAAGTTGAACTTAAATATCTTGCCATATCTGTCATTTTACACAAATAATTTGTAGTGACAGAACTATACTAAGCGCCACCTAAAATTGAGTGGTGTTTGAGTATTTTGACATTAGTAGCATCTGTGTCTGAATATTGCTCATAATTGGGTAGGTTCCAGGATATCAAAATTAAAAATCTAATTAGTCCGTCAGTTAGATAATGAAAAAATATTAGACTAAGTTTAGGAATGGGAGGTTGTTACAAAATGTGGCACGCTGTGACGTCACACGATATTTTAAATTAATATATCGTCGAAAGTATTTAATTGTGTGAGAAAAGAAAAAATACGTATCTAAAGTTTTAAGTTAATGTACCAGATGGACATCAAAACAAAATTTAGGAAACTACAAATAGGGTATTACCATGTTCATTTCTGGCATACTTGCGAATCGACAGGCGTTCTAATTTTGAAAATTTTTGAGCATGCTCAATAGAACGCTTTTTAGCGTGCTATTTTGGAGCATGTGTCACGTTGCCTTTATGTTGTAAGTGTCACGTTGTAGACGTGAACAAGAATCTTAAGCCCGGTAGTTGCGTTTTCGACTGTCAGTCTATAAGATTCAAATTCAAATTCCAAATTCAAATTCTTTATTGCGTGACTCATTGACAACATTCCATTTTTTTCTGTATTACAGCAAGACGTGGCGTTGATCGTGTCGCAGAAACTGTCGTTGATTCGCAAGGAACAAGAAGAGACCGAACTTTTTACCACACATGGGGTGAGTTATTTTGTACCATATATTTTTTTATATTAAATGGGACTGACGTTTGACCACTATCTCGCCTGGTGGTAAACGATGTTGTGGCCTACGATGGAGAACGTCGAGCCATAAACAACCTATTCACTCGGGCCTTGAAGACACCCAGGTTATACCCTTCTGGAAATACAGACTCTGGCAAAGAATTCCACTCCTTAGCAGTACGCACAAGGAAGCTTGATGCGAAGCGCTTCGTGCGTGTGGGTGGGACATCTACCATGAATCGGTGACGCTTCGCCGATTGTCTTGTGGTACGATGATGGAAAGGACTAGGGGGAATCAAGTGATATATCCTTATATGCAGATCTTAATTTACAAAGTCAAAAGTAATTTCTACATTCTTTAAATTGTTTTCGCAGTTTGGTTGGTCAGCGGGTGAATCATCACTTGGTCAGTTCACCGGTTCAACAGGAGCGCAGATATTAACACCGAGGGAACTAGCAAGTGGTACACAAGCGTGGGCCAAAAAGGTACAAAATTATATTCTAAACTTTAACATCATACTGTATAACATTACTTCAGTGAAATTGTTCTTTCATTTTTACCAAAATTGTTTTAAAATGCATTTTTTATACATGGCGTTGCGTTTAGCGTTTTTCATAATTGCATTGCGTAGATTGTTCCCTTCTCTACATTAATTCAGACGTCTGGAAGCGGCGTAAATGGAATTTTTGGAATAGCGCAGTAAGCTAATACAGAAAAACGTTCTTGACAAAAAGATCTCATTGTAATTTGAACCTTAAAGACATTTGAGGTCACTGGTACATGATTGAAGAACATTTTCCTGTATCCAGTATCAACTAAAGGCATATAATGTGTTGTAGTATACATAGTCATGTCTTATTACAAATAAAATATTCAATTTGACAAAGACATCTGGGTTGATACTTATTCTGATTGATTTAGATGTCTTTTTACTTAATGTATATGTAAATAAATACAATTTATATTAATAAGTGTAATTATGAAAGAACAATACGCTTGTAGGGGTCAAAAATAAAATACCTATGTGTTAAAGTATGAAACGAATCTATTTCAGTGCTCAACTGTCTTATTGTGTACTGTGTATTGTGTTCGATCTTGTGAATTAGGATTTTGTGTTCCACTACTTTCGTTACTGGAAAACACGACATTTCACTTGGAAAGTATCTAACTGAGCTAAGTAGCTTTTGCCCGCGTTGATGTCCTTTGACAAGTAGCAAGATATTTTCCTTACACACAACTTAGGCTAGTTGAGTAAATAATGCGTAAATCGATTAAAAAAAAAACAAATATATTGCCTCATTTGTATGATTTTAATTGGGTAGTTTCCAGGGTATCGAAATTAAAAATCTAATTAGTCCGTCAGTTAGATAATGAAAAAAATATTAAACACGTATTTTTTTCGTATTAAGTTGGAATACTTAGATAAAATGGCGCTAGGTTTAGGAGTGGGAGGTTGTTACGTCATAACGTGCTACAAAATGTGACACGCTGTGACGTCACACGATATTTCAAATTAATATATCGTCGAAAGTATTTAATTTTGTGAGAAAAGAAAAAATGCGTATCTAAAGTAAAGTTTTAAATTAATGTACCAGACGGACATTAAAATAAAATTTAGGAAACTACCCTATTGGGATGTTTTATATTAAGTTTCAACTACAACAAATATGTTTTAAAAATTGAATTTGTTTGGGAACTTGTTTCGTGTTTAGGCATCCACTACGTAATGACGTAGTAGGGATATGGCGCTGTGGTGGATGCCATTGCACAATCATGCCATATTGTAATTAACCAACCTGTGAATACGAAACACTATGACAGGATTGAACTCCATACATTCACCAATACTGACAGTGAACGAGCCCCATAGTTTCGTTCAGTACTTTAATAGTATGCCAATGACTTTTCTTTCAGCTGATTGCCTCGCCGGTCGGGATTTGCGGTCACTGCGCGCTCGACCGTTCGGTCAGAACTTATAATACTAGTCGTATTATACTTTCTGACCTTTTTCTATTAAAAACTGTGATGGTTGCAACAACTTGACTTTTTTATAATGTTATCTTGTATCACTGTTTTGTCAATGAGCTATATTGTAGCACGGTTTTTATGTATCTATATGTATTGTATTTTATATAAACTAAGAGCTATGAAATGCTTGTTTTCTGGTAGTGGTTTTGAATGAAAGATGCTATGAACTATTGGGAATTCTTTGCTAAAGCTATTTATGGATGCCCTTTTTTTCTTACAGATTGGACGGCTTTCTCGTATTATTAATACAGGGAAATATTATTAATTGGGATTTTGGGATTATTTGCGTTTGCGCTCAGAATTATTATCTTTCTCTCGGTGAATGAATTTATCAAATTGTAATCAGTAGTTTTGGATATTACACAGAACATACAAACTCACATTAATATCTTCTTAAAGTAGTTAATTAACACGGATTTAAATACATTATAAATATTCAGCATACTATAGTAGTTAGAAACAATATTTATAATATTTATTGTCTATTGAATTGCTTCGGCTACATACTCACACTTCGAATTTATACAAAAAAAATATAAATACTCATGCTATTATCCTCTCTATATAATTATTATGTAATGTGTAACCTCACTGTATGTTGCTGCAACCATTACGCGACCTCGTAATTCCCTGTTTGTGTAACTAGGGAACTTGAAAGTTCGCTGGTTACACCGCACTACTCTTCTAATGTGATGGTAATTCTCATGCCACGCCCCCTTTGGCATGTGAATCATCATTACCAAAGATTGCGTACAGATATTCAGTTTTCCCCTTGGTTGTGACTGACTTATTTCAATTGTTTATATTAATTTTTTTTTATTTGTAACCTACATACTTTTTTAAATGCTTAATGTTGGTCCAAATTGCAAACTTTTTACAGGCTGTTTTGCGTTATTTAGTTCCTATTTTGTTTAAGTTTAATCGTTGTTGGATTTATTTATTCGACTTTAGTTTTGTCCTTGACTCTGTATATAAAGAATTTATGGTCTAGGACTGTTGGGCGGAAATATAGATACTTCATTTTATAAAATACATTTAGTCAGTCTTCAAATAATATTGAAAAGTCCATCGATTCTTTGAGCTATCCAAGAAGGGCGATAATAACTTACAGCCTCTCCCGAACATTTGTGCAAAGCTATGTGCGAAGTTTTGCACAACTAATACATAATGTACAAGCGATTCGCGTCTTTATAAACAGTAAAAAGATACGTTTTCGTGAAAAAATGCGATGCGTTGATGGCTCAAAGAAAAATGGCCAAGATGGGGAATTCATGAATATTTGTTGCAGCTTTTAAGTGATAAGGAGATGCGTGCACTTCGATGTCTACGATGATAGGTGCTAACCTTACAATGTATTCAAAGAGGTAAGTATAATACGGGAGGGGGTGAAGTAATACTCAGACAAAAATGAACTTTATGTGTTGTGTACACTGAGTACAAATTTAATATAACTACTGGCAGATTCTCCATTATTGTTGAAAGTTGACTGTGAGCTACAATGCGATGGTAATGCTTTTCTACAGGGTGTTTTAAGAGAATACTTTTACATTTTTCTTCCAAAATAGTCTTTAACTACATTAAAATCATAATTGTTCTCATATCTAAACGAATTTATTATACTCACGATTGTCAATGCATTGTCTAATGTTGTTGTATGTATGTAGGACCAACTGGTGCGTGCCGCGCCCGTTGAAGGAGGCATGGGCATGCATTTACTTCAGAAAATGGGCTGGACGCCCGGCCAAGGGTTGGGTAAGGAAGGTACTGGGACGCTTCAGCCATTACTGCTCGAAGTTAAACTTGATACAAGAGGTCTGCAGGCCAAAGAAGAGGCCACTACCTGTAGACGCAGTAGGGGTGTAAGTATTTTTTTTATTTTGAACCTTTACCGTCTTATAGTATCCATGTTGACTTTTATAGTCATTTATAATACACTGCCCAGTCCCCAAGTGGTCACCGGTAACCACTCTCCAGTAACTCCATTATAGACCTTATTTACGATGCTTAGAGACTACTTTTGTATAAACAATTGTTGTGGATTTTTCATACCCGGGGATTAAGAAGTTAATGCATGTTTGAAACAATATTTTAACACATTAAATTGTATAGTTTTATGAACAACAAATTTACTTTTCTACATGGTAAAATTAATTGGAGCCCACTTTTACATAAAGTGTGTTGTAGACATCTTAATTACATTTGCTAATAATTTAAATAGACCACAAACACTTGTCATACTTCAATTTAATAATTGATTTATTTTTTTTATGGCATAAGCCGGTAAACGAGCAGACGGATCACCTGATGGTAAGTAATCGGTGTCGCCCATGGACACCTGGAACACCAGAGGCGTTACAAATGTGTTACCATCATTTTGGGGATTAGGAGTTTGAGGATCGTTGGGGATTCAGGGATTGGGGAGATTAGGGAAGCGGAGAGTAATTGGGCCTCCGGTAACACACGATGAAACACAACGCAAGCGTTGCTTCACGTCGCGCGTCGGTTTTCTGTGAGGCCGTGGTATCACTCCGGTCGAGCCGGCCCATTCGTGCTGAAGCATGGCTCTCCCACACTAACTTTTTTTTTTATTCTTTATTTATTTACAGGACTTTTATCTGAAGAAGACATGTCAGTCCTTAATTGGTTTCCTTGCATCTTAAATCTTACAATACAATGAATTTGAATAAATGAATTCCCTTCCAGATGAAACCGCAACGCCCCAGTCGTCTCCGCGGCCCCGCGCCTCTAGTAGCTGGCGGGAAGCACCCAGTATCGTTGCTAGGAGAATATTGTTCCAAACAGAAACTTGGCCCCCCAGAGTACAATCTGTGTTTTGAGTGCGGTCCCGACCACAAGAAGAACTTCCTGTTCAAGGTCTGCGTACGTTGATTTTTGTTATTTATTCTTCTTATTTTGTTTTCGTAAGTACGCAGGTAAGTTCAGAATCCTGCAAAATTCATTTGATGTTTTTTAACTCCACCATTTTTCAATGCACGTACGTAGTAGCCACCAGATCAACTTACTATCTGTCAAATTTATTTATTGGATTTTCTACTTTATGTCAATACAATAAAGTTGAAGATGTAATAGAGAAATTTCACAGTAAAGGATAGGTTGAGCGAAAATTGAGCGCAATGGAAATAATAACCTTTTTCTTGACTGCCAAAGAATCTCGGGTTCGATTCCCGAGTCGGGCACAGTATTATTGGGTTTTTCTCAATCACGGAGTCTGGAATTGTGCCCGGTATATGGCAATAGGCTCATGTAATAGGGAGCCCTATTACATGGAACTCATAACATAAATAGTGAAAAGTGGGTGTTACATTGTACAGTGGTATTAAGTGCTGTAAATGTGCACCTCTGTCTACCTATTCGGGCATAAAAAGGTGTGATGTTATGTTTCTTGATAAAACAACGCAGCACTAATAATGTACATTTATTAGTAAAGTTTCAGTAAAAAATGTAAGTCACTGCATGAAAGCTTAATAGAAGGCGCTGATGGAAACTAAAAAATATTGTGTACAGTGTGTAGCAAGTCAACCTACTCTTTTCTGTCATATTTCTTTATTAGATTCTCAATTGGATTGTTTTCAGGGTTTCAAAATTAAAAATCTAATTAGTCCGTCGGTTAGATAATGAAAAAATATTTAACACGTATTTTTTATTTTCTCGTATTACGTTGCAATGCTTAGATAAAATGGCGGCTGGCGCTAAGTTAAGGAGTGGGAGGTCGTTACGTCATAACGTGCTACAAAATGTGACACGCTGTGACGTCACACAATATTTGAAATTAATTTATAGTCGAAAGTATTTAATTTTGTGAGAAAAGAAAAAATACGTGTCTAAAGTTTTAAATTAATCTACCAGACGGACATTAAAATAAAATTTATGAAGCTACCCTATTCTATCACTTGGGTAAATACAATGAATAAAGTCGAAAATACAATGACAGAAATTGACACAGCAGTAGCTGGTTATGCAGATGTGTTGGCCACTGTACTTAACGTGTTGTATTAAAATGCATTACCAGTTAATCGCTTTCTTTCCTAATGTAAATAAATAGCAAACTAACCTCACAGAACAAAATATTTAAAGGTGACACAATTTTACAGGTGAAAGTGGCCGGGACGGAATATCAACCCGCAGTAGCCAGCGCCAACAAGAAGCAGGCTAAAGCTGACGCCGCTCAGTTAGCTCTACAGAAACTAGGCATAGTGACGTAGTTACTATTTATATATTGTATACGACTGTTTATATTATATTAGTACATCTCTTGTCATACGTTTGTTAAAATATACGCGTATAGGAATATTTTGTTTGTTTTATTTATTAATATAAATTACCCAGTACTACACTGGATATTAACCTTTCTAAGACGTGGATCCACGCGAGACACAATATATTTTCTATTGTGTCTCATATTGGTGCATTCAAAAGGTTAAAGTACTTATAATCATATTAAGTTTTGTCATAATCAGACCAGTAGATTTGAGTGATGCGTGTACATACAAAAATTTTTTAAACATATTTTTGGATACTGTATATATCTAGTAACGCCCTCCAATATTTCTTTTTTTATTATTTTCAATGTTTCACTTAAGTAGGTATAGTACTTAAGTGAAGTTGATTATATTTCAAATGACTTGGCAGAAACACTATATTCTATTTTTAATAATGATTCATTTTTTACGTCACAAATATCATGAAGCAAATACTTATAACTTGTGTTGTTCTTAGTAATATTTTAAAACAAATCCAACGGAAAGTTCAAAAAATATGCATCGAATTAAGATCTCAATATAAATGTAACATTACATATTGAACAACATGCTCCAGTTGATTAACTTTTTACACTAAATTACCACATTAATAACACCAAATAAACAATCACAATAACTTGTACAACCCGTCTGTAACATAAGCAATTACTGTGTTATAAGTCTTTTTCGTTTAATCACGATCTCGCCTTTTAGTAAGCGATAATGTGGTCTACGATGAAGCACATCGTCGCATAAGCAACCTATTCACTCGGGCCTTAAAGACACCCAGGTTACTATCGGAAAAGGCTAAGTCTATAATGATACACTTTTTAAAACAAAATCCTTTGCTAAACTCGCTATCAACCGCCTCTGTTTTCCCTGTGACCGCTCGTGTCGAGTGCCTGCGAATATCACCTAATGATGTTCGACCACCAACTTAGTCGATTGTACCTCGGTATATTTCTTTTGCTAAATAATACGATGACATGTGACGTGCAATTAGCAATACCCTGCGAACACGACAGCGCAGCGTATAGATAACAAATGATAACAAATAACAATATCAAGTACCGTAAGTACTCACACAGTTGTCACGCGCTGATAACACTCTCTATAAATACAATTTATACAATCAATAGGTACATAGTTACTTGCACTCTCTCTCTCTCTCTCACACACTTCGTATCTAACAATTGAATTCAACCCTGAGTACGGTAGTCGAAGGTAATCAAATTCAATACTTGAAATGTCAAAAACTATACTTTTCTATGAATTTTGTATTGGATCGCAATATTTCCTCTCTCCGCTTATTTCCTTAAAATAAGTGAGAAAAAATAGAAAGTAGGTAAGTAATAAAAAGTAGATAAATTGTCAAATCAATGGATGAGAGTATGATTATTTTTTTAATTATTTATTGCATTGAAAAGTTGAAACAATTTATTTTAAACTTAGGAAACTAGCCAATTATCCCCAGACTATACATGTAAGCCAGTCAGTTGTGATCTTTTAATACTTTAATTGCGATAAAATAATATTATTATTTAATAACATTTCATGTTTGTATGCTAATGACCTAGATTAGTATAAACAGTCACAACAGCGTTTTTGTTGTAAACCAGCGCAATGAATTTCGTTATATTGTGTTACCTCAAATAAAATGTAGTATTTTCACTGTATCATTATTATATTTGTTGTTTATCCAACGCATTTTATCAATTGTTATTTGAATGTCTTAAATGACTGCCTCGTTAGCCGAGTGGTCGCAAGTGCGACTGCCGGGCAATGGGTCTCGGTTTCGATTCCCGGGTGGGGCAAATTAAAACTGGGTTTTTTAAAAATTCTCAGTAGTAGCACGGAGTCTGGAATTGTGCGCAGTATGACAATAGGCTCACCCCCTATTACAATGGACTCGTAACATAAATAGTGAAAAGTGGGTGTTACATTGTCAATGGCATAATGTGCACCTCTGGCTACCGCTTCGGGGATAAAAGGCGTGATGTTATGTTGTCTTAATAAAGACACAATGTAGCATCTACTAACTATTATAAGAAAAAAAAATACAAAATATAACTCATAAATCAGATTTATTTTAGAACTATTGATAACATCACTACAACTATACAGGACATTACTAAGACATTACAATTTTAATTTAACATCAAGGGGTATTGTGCATAAGATCCAAAGAGTCCGGTATACATTAACAAGTTACAATAACATTACAACTAATTTAAAACATTTTGAGTGCTGATCTAGTATGTGGAGTAAATAGAATTTAATTCTCTTCCTTCAGTACCTACAATTACTTCTAATAATGTGTTAGATACTAGTCCTGCCTCCTTACGATTCCTACTAAAATCACAGATCTGTTCCCTTCATCAATCACATCAATATCCATTTTCCTTTTACTGCTTCTCATCTGATTGTTGTTTGATCCTGTAGTCTGACAGAGCTGCCTTTATTGCGTCTTCAGCAAGCACTATAACAAAGCAAAATACATTTAAAATTAGAACTACACACACACGCATACTAGGTGCGTGACAATTAATCAATATAACAAAAAAAATGATGTGTAAAAGAGCTGCCTTGTAGCCTATTTGCAGAAAAAAATTCACTTCACTTTTCTTTCAAAAGTACATTATAAGAATAACAAGTATATCATAATCGAAAATTAGCACATCAACTCTCAAAATAACAGACACTATTTGAATTGATGATCCAACTTCCTAATTTTAGAATAGTTGCACCATTTGACCCATTAGTTATCTGTGGACCAAGTAAATTAGTCGTCATTTGTAAAAATAATGATTTAAACTTTATAGGTTATAAAAATGTAAATGTGTTTACCACAGCTTATCAGTAACTGGTTGTTAGGTCAAGATAACAATAACAAAATTTCGTAACTTATCGGGCATAACATCGGTGAAATATCAATACGTGCAAGATTGGGAATGATATGAATGAACACAAGCTCATAAAATGTCAACAACTGCTGTTACTGATGATAGATAAGAAAGATTTTGGATAACCGCCAAAAAATGAGGAAAATATATAAATCTCTGTTGGGAATATTGAAAAAAACAGTATGAAATTGATACCTGTGTGAGAAACAACAAGTATAATGTGAGATCCATTTAGGAACATCAATAGAAAGGGTCCAGAATGGAGTTTTCGTAACTTGGAGAATGTTTTGCATTAGATCTGATGAACTATTGCTCAATTTTTGAAACACATTTGCAATTATTTATCATTCATATAAACTCTCATTTAACTAAATGATTTCACATCACCAGTGTTTTGCACATTTCATATTACATTTGATAAAAATGCAATTAAGAATAGATGATAAACAAATTATATACTTACTAGAGCAATGTAGCTTGACTGGTGGCAAGGAAAGCTCCTTAGCAATATCTGTGTTCTTCAGCTTCAGAGCTTCGTCAACTGTCTTCCCCTTCACCCACTCTGTAGCCAATGAGCTGGAAGCAATAGCAGATCCACAACCAAAGGTCTTGAACTTAGCGTCTATGATCTTGCCATTTTCATCAACCCTGATCTGTAACTTCATGACATCACCACATGCTGGGGCTCCGACCAATCCCGTGCCAACATTTTTGTCTTTTTTGTCCAAAGAACCAACATTACGAGGATTCTCATAATGATCAATCACCTGAAACAAAATTGTGTAAACATTTTAGTTACAAATTCTTTATGACCATGATATGATAAATGTGTGCAAAATAATTTCCTTTATCCTTTATAATTAAATTGAACTATCATTTAAGTAATTATTTACGCAGCTGATCAAATAACTGGCAATTTTCGATTTCAAATTAAGTGAAGCCTATCTAATTAGAAACTAATAAAATAAAATAAGTATTTGCAGTCGCAGTATCTATAGTCCACTAGTATATCAGACCAATACAAATGTGCCTATTTAGATTCGAATTAGAATATTTAAGTGGCCTATTTTAATTGCGGTCGTATTTAGATTAAAAATCCAAAATGGAAATGTAAATATTACTTCTTATTATATCACCGGTCAAGGCTATTTATGAAATTACGTAGTTCAGTAGTGAAATCGATAATCCTTGACATTGCATGCTGATGGAAGTACTCACATTGGCATGGTATGATGCAGTTTGGATAATGTTCGGGCTGCTAAAACTCTTCAAGCAAATGCATCTGCGTATACTTGTAACGAGAAACGCCATTCTTATTCGATTAAATCGCACGAAATAATTTTAATTTCTAGTTCGCACAATCCAACTGCACTTTTTATGATAGAGAAAATTGAAATGAAGGTTCGAAGGAATCCGCAGATCTGCCAAGTGCGCCGCGGAGCCGAATGTCAAATGTCATTGAGGAAATGACAAATTATTATGACAGTGTTAGAAATGACATTTTTTGCGTTTTCTGTGGCAGGACCAATTGAATACCTAAGTTAGAAACAGAAATATTTTTAAAAAGACGATCCGTTTGTATTTTCATTTCTAAATATTCAAAGCTTTTTGACATTGAAGCTCATGAAGCCCATGAAACTTGATTAATAAAGTTCAAAAATAATTATAGTAAAAGAAACAACATTAAAAACCAATCAGTCAGTGACTATTGAAAGAAACGAGGATTTGGAACGCATCATGTTTGACATTAGTACATGTCGTTCAGAACCAAAACTTCGAATACAGTAGTTTGGTAAATATAACTGTAACTTATCGTGAAATTGTGATAAATTAGTTATTATTCAGTACCGAAATATTTTACAGTCACTTTTTTAACTTTTTATTGGTTTCCGAAACACATTCCATAACTATAATTCAGTCATACTTATATAATGCTTGACGCTAAACAAATATTGTACAGAATTGGTTTCTAAACGTATGCGTATTTAAATAGCAACTTTTTTGTAGTGATCATGACAATCGGTTTTAGAATTTCCAAGCTTGTTGCGCCCATAGTCGGGAACGTAATTTGTTTATCTCGAGCCCAATTTAGTGCTGTGTAAGTAGTTAATTTATTCAAAGTTTATGAAATACTGTAAGTGTTATGCAATCAGTGTTTTTTTTTAAGACAGACCGGCTGATGCAATTTGTGTACAACACTAATCTGTCAAATTATTTTTTAATTTTAGGAATTTGAACGTAGAATTTGTCAAAGTACTACATTATCTTGTTGTGGTGAGCCGGTTTTGTAATTAGATTAATATTTGTATATTTCAGAAAAATGAGTAATAATCCCGATTACAAAGCTGCGACATCCATCCATGAATTCACAGTGAAGAATATAAAGGGCGAAGATGTAAAACTTGATGTTTATAAAGGTCATGTCTGCATTATTGTGAATGTGGCCTCACAGTGCGGGCTCACTGCGAATAATTACAAGCAATTGAATGAATTATACGAGAAATATGCCGAGGACAAAGGTAAGTTCAACAACTGATAAGAATAAAAACATCAACAAAATAAATTGCAATCAGTAACTGAATACTTTACCTAAATAGTACTTACAATATTGTTTACTTTACTGATAATAAGGTACCTATTTACAAACAACCGAAAAAAAAAACATTGGTTTTCAAAAAAAAATATTATGAATAACATTTCTATAATCTGTAAACAGCATCTGTAAAACCAAAGACTAATATTCTATTTATTAGGTCTGCGCATCCTGGCGTTCCCCTGTAATCAGTTTGCCGGCCAGGAGCCTGGTAACCCTGAGGATATTGTCTGCTTTGCATCAGAGAGGAAAGTGAAGTTTGACCTATTTGAGAAAATTGATGTCAACGGAGATGGTGCCAGTCCTTTGTGGAAATTCTTGAAGGTAAAGGTTGTATGTATTATTATTTTATTATTCTGCATTGTGTGGCAAAAACAGCATGATCACGGCTATAATTAAAGTAAGTGTTAAAAAGCTAATTATAAATCATTTATCTTAGGAAGTCATCATTATTTATAGTTAGTTTGGTATGCTAATTTGTGTTACTACATTTCAACTAACATACATTATCGTCATAATTATAAAAGTCAATATACCAATATCCTTGTCACAATTTTTTTTTATTGTATAGTATAATTTTGACTGCACCGGTGGCTAGGCAATTAGCTGTTGAGCAATGTGCAGTGGGTTTGAATCCTACACTAAGCAACTCTTTTCTCTTTCATCTTTATGCGATCCACAAATTATTGTTGTTTCTGATCTGGGTCTCATGTATATGTAAATTGTATGTTTGTAAATGCACCCACAACACAGGAGAACATCCTCATGGGTAGAGTATTATTTTTTCCTAAATGATATTTAGATAAAACAAATCTATTTTGGAGGTTCTCCAAAAAACAGGCGAGATAGTGGTCAAACGTCAGCCCATCAAACATAAAATAAAACAGAGTTGGGAACTCCAAGAAAATAATTAAACAAATGATTAGGTACCTAGGCAAAGCCAGGATGGGTAGCTAGTTTAACAAAAGCATGACTTCACAATTTTTTATGTATAAAAAATCTAATTGTGTGAATATCCTTGACTATGGTTTAAAAACATGACACATGCACTGACTCCCAAGCATTAAGCCTCTAATGTGACCTTTGCTTCAATAATAACAGTAGTGTTGTCTGTTCAAAGTCCAATGTTCTTAAAAAAGTAGTTGCTAATTTGAATTTCCTTGGACGTGTTCACAATGGTAAATGCTAATGTTATTTTGAATTTTTAAAATTCATAATAGACTGAATTTATTTGTACTGTTTACATTTTCGAACTTCATACATTTATTTATTTGTTCTTTTATATGCAGTTTATGTTAACAATGTTGTTATGTTAGGGAATAAATTGTGAATGTAGATGAAGCAAGCTAAAATTAATTTTACCATTATGTTGTCCATAGGCACAACTGGTTTTCAATAATTTATGTTGATGGCTTGAGTCACGCAGGAAAAGTTCGAAGTCCGAAAAACTAGTTAGTACTTAATCGATGTCTAGTTCTGTGTTATAATAACTACCTAATCTGAATCTAATCATTTCTGATGTCATTAATATTTACGTGAAAAACAAGATAGATGATAAAATTATAAACTGATTTAATTCAAATATTTTTTACAGATAATAAAATACGTGTATTATTTTCAAAAGAAGAAAAATCTTAATCTTAAATGATTCAGGCATAAGTTGCCGAGTAATGATGAGAACTAGTGTTTATCAATAAATCGCCTATCGTGCTTTAATTGTGGTAAAACACAGGTGTATTGAGGGCCAACTTCCAACCTTGGGTAGTCTATTGCGATAGACCGATAGTGAAAATCAATACTGCTACTGTATTATTCATTATTCTGGAAACAGTAATTTTGAGATATTACGGTTTTGTATTTTACTCCGACATCCAGATTTTAATTACGCTCTCCTAAAAAACTAGTATTCTATTTCTATTCTAATCTTGCAATTTGCGACAAAGTTTTGGTTTTATAGATTTCTTTTAACTTGAATCATATTTTTTGGAGTAACTAGACATTCTAACACTTATCTCTATTTACTCAATAGGATATGATTTCTTATCTCAAAGATAAACGTAGTAGGAGTGTTTGAGCCTATTGTCCGAAAATAATTTAACGCCTCAGTGTTTGTGGTATGATGTCTGATCGGAAAAATATTGTACTTTACAGTGATATTATAAAGTATGAGATTAGCTCTGTCTGAGTCTCTGAGTATGTTAATAGGTGCGCTATAAGAACTTATACAATAACAGCATAAGTTGTTCATTAACGTTAAACACAAAATGACGTAACAACTATATAATAATGCTAATTCGGTTTATTTTTCTTCAGCACAAGCAAGGAGGTACTCTGGGCAATTTCGTGAAATGGAACTTCACCAAATTCATTGTGGACAAGGATGGAGTCCCAGTTGAGCGCCATGGACCCAATGTGGACCCATTGGACCTGGTGAAATCCCTGGAGAAGTACTGGTAATCAGCTTCACGGAAAATGGCACTGCATTTTATTTTTTTACGACATAGTAGGCTTTAGTTAAGTTGTAGATGGTTTTCAACAATTCATTCTTTGCCTTCACAGCATTTAACTTTTACTGTTATTGACATATTGACTTTTAAATGTTTATTCTATTATTTTTCACGTCTTAGAAAGGTGGATACAATTCGTAGCCATCTTTAAGCAATAATGCACACAAATACCTATAAAATAATACTAGGTATACTTTTTTGAAATATCACGCACGACGGCATGTCGAAAGAATGTTAAAGAAGTTAGCATATTAGAAACTTATAAAATATTATATTTATATGTATAATTATGTATGAAAATTCTGCAAACACATTGTGTGATATATTGAGTAGTCTTTAAGAATTATTGTTTATTTTTTTGTGATAAAATATATGGACATAATAATTTTGGGGTGGTTATTTTGTTCCTATTTTAGTTTGTAAGTTATCGCGACGATTACGTCCATTTTAAAGTGTATGTTAACATAATTAAAGTAGTAGTGCACTAGTTCCAACAAAAACCACTTAAGTAATATAACAATCTGGTGGAAAGGAACCGTTAATTAACAGAATAAGGATGTAGGTACCTACGTCTAGTACCCCAGTACCGTCTTTACCATAAGGGCACTCGGGCCCTTGGCCCCCCATCAAAGAGTATCGTAAGTATAAGGGAAGCTCCCATCCTCAGGGGCCCCGAAGGACCGACAATTTCTACGATAGATTCACACTCGCTACACGTTGCGCGGCAATCCGGTGCCCCGCAACGTGTAACTGCAGCGAGTTCAGTTCCCGAGCAAATCTTTGTGTGAGCCACAAATTGGTTATCGGCTGGGTGTCATGTGTATGTGAAGTAAACTTGTATGTTTATAACTGTACCGACGATACAGGAGAATGGATATTAGGTACATCGTAAAAAAGAAACATTCCACAAGGGCCCAGCGTAGTCTAAGACGGCCCTGCTTACGTCGCAGTTTGACGTGTACTCTACATACGTATCCGAGAAGATACATCTAGGGCATGTTTTATAACTGTCTTAGAACTAACTTTTCGCCAGAAGACCTGTTATAATATTGGGATAAAATGTAGCCTTTGTAAATCCCTTTAACACCATGAACAGTGACTTTCCAATTATAAAATTAATTAGGTAGGTTTCGATGCAAACCAAAAATTTTTTTACAACGGAACAAACACTTTCTAATAGTGATATTCTGTGCGGGAATCCAACCCGCAATGCGTTGTTCTTGCATTGCGGCAGTAGGTCGCTCATCATAAACTGAATCATGAGATAGGTACCTACTCGGTAAGTAGGTAGTAGGCATTATGTGGCTATCTATAAATCCTACAGCATAGGTACATATCAAAAATGAGTTGAAACAGCGGTAGTTGATCATGTGGCTCTTTTATCAATTACTTGAACGTTGAGAAAGGAAATTGAATAGAAATCCTTCAAACAAAATAAAAAAAAAAAATAGTACAAATTAAAACATTTTGGCGCCATTAGTTTGATTTGACGAAAGAATAGACAATAAATTTAGATATAAGCCTTTTTGCTTTTACTTTTTACAAATATGAGAACATCATTGACATTGATTGTGAACTGTCAAAAATGTTGTGATCTTTTTAAGGTTTTTTTTTACCTACGTAACGATAAATAGCTATTGTTACCATGAATACACCTACCTAAAATGGAACAAAACGGTTCAAATATGACTATCATTAGCACACCATGGACAAAATAATTAATAACCCACATTATACACGAGCCCAAACACTTCATGAATTTACAGTGAAGGACATAAAGGGTAACCTTGTTAAATTAGACAAATTTAAAGGACATGTCTGCATATACGTAGACACTGCCACAAATTCACCCTTCACTGATATGCACTACGCGCAATTTAACAATTTAATGGATAAGTTTGCAGACACCAACGGTATGTTTCTTATTAACTATGACTACTAACTAACAACATAATCACTATGGAAAGTGGATGTACTTAATTGATTGTTGATAATAAGGCACCTTTGCCTATCACTTCAGGCAGAGCTATTATTCTTAAATACGCCTAGGGCGCCAGATTACAGATGAGTACCGTGTGACGTGTGACACACATAGAGCTACGCAACTACGCATAAAGTGGCGGCGAATCCAAAAAAAATTAAGGGCGCCTATGAGCTGCTTGTCTCGGGCGTTCTCTGGGTATAATCCGCTTCAGCCTTCAGGAATTAAAAGCGAACTCATTATCATCGTGATCAAATGGAAGATGGCCACTGCTGAACTATGACCTCCCTCTTGCCCGCCACACCCAACCACAAGTTTTCACTTACTCATGACTATCTAACCACGCTCAGTCACGCTGTGTCTGCTGGACCAGCAGAGCTGAGAGGTTGCTGTCCGGGGTTGCTACTCAATAGTACCTACTTCGCTCGCTACCAACTTGGGAACCTCTGTTAAAACTTAGAAACAATGATTTAAAATAATTACTTATTATAAACCATGTGAATTACTTATTTTGATTACTAATATTTTAATTAGATAGCCAACTAGAAACCCAACTACAAACTACGTAAGTTTTAGTTTTAATATACTTTTTTTATATTAAGGATTGAGAATATTGGCGTTCCCTTGTAATCAATTCGGCATGGAGCCTGGTACACCGGAATCCATAGCCGCTCACGCCGAGAAGCATAACGTCAAATTCGATATTTTTGCTAAAATCGATGTTAATGGAGAAACAGCTTGTGATGTATGGAAATTTATGAAGGTGTGTTATAATAAAATATTTTCTTACTTCTAGTAAATACCTTAGCATACTAATATTAATATGAGACAGGTTTGTCGAAGGCTGTTATGCCCTTTTATTACCCAGAGGATTAAGTTTGCCCACGATTTGCCTTTATATCCTTTGGACTGAAAGTGCAGCACACAAGCCAGCGGATCGTAAGGAGCTGGCAACTTTAAAAATGGTAACTAAACAACCACTACTTACTAACCCAACTATACTTACGATCTCCGGCCACCGTAAGCGCGGGCCTGCGGACGGCGAGCATGGGTGGCTCCCCGTCCGACCAGAAACAGACCCGAGCGTACGGCGCGTCGCGTTCCGCGCGCGCCTCAAAGAGCCATCAGACCACCACAGATGGGGCCCAATAGGGCCGATGCCGATTCGGAGTCGCGGAGAACCTAACGCGTAACCGGGGCTCCGGCTCGACGTGCAGGAGAAGGAACGGGGTGGTTTTTAGTCAGTAAGAGTCTGACACTCCCTCCCGCCTCACCCAGGCGGGGGCAGTCATTCGATGATTTTCCCCCCTTAAAAAAAAAAAAAAAACCCTACTATACTTTCCTCATGCTCGATAAATGTTTAGTGACCTGATAAAGCTAGATTCGTAAGTTTTTATAAGGTACATACATATACCTATAGATACCAACCAATACCTATAATAAAAATGAGTCAAAACATAATTTGAAATACTTAATATTTTTTTAGGCAAAGGTACCTGGTGGTGCTCACGGCAACATGATAAAAACTAATTACACAAAATTTATTGTGACCAAACAGGGTATGCCCGTAGAACGACACGGACCAGAAGTGCAACCAGTAGAATTCGAACAATTACTGAACCCTTACTGGTGAACCACAACTGATTATACCCACATTAACCTAATTGATGATGGACTTAAATTCTGAGAATTTATCACGGCTACTAGCCTCACTATTAAAGAGAAAATATGAACGACGTGGAAGACAACATTCTTTACAAAGTCGTAATTCTCAAATCGCTACTTCTGTTAATGGAGCAAGTCTGAATCGACTATTGGAAGCGACTAACCGACGACAATGCACAACTTTATTACCGCCAACTCAAATCAATAGCTCTCCAAACAAAAATCAACGTCGCAAACGTAAACAGTCACGTTTTTAACATTTACATTTTAGGTGAAAACGATAGTTTTTTTTAAATACACGCAGAAGAAACATGTTGATACCGAATTAATTTAAAATAATAATAAACTAGCAAATACCTCCTCAAAGTTTTATTTATTTTGTTTGTCACTTGTATTTTTATTAATAAAGCTACCACTAGTAAAATAAAACCATGAGTAAGAATAGATATTCTAAATATTGCCAAAATTATATTGTTTTGACGGTTCGCGTTAACGCGCGTTATGACTGTTTATCATGCGATAAAATTGTCGCAAAACTGTAACTAAGGGTTTACATAACGCTACGCAGTGTGTGTTAAGCCTAAATTACTCTATGGTTCTCAGGTAAAATTAAATTGTCTATGACCACGATTCAACCCATACAGGATTGACAGTTAAACGTTACATTTTGTATCTCATTCTATTTCCGTATAAAAAAGTAGTAAAGCAAGAACAGTACTATTTCTGGCCAATCACAGGCGACCTTTTTAAATTCATTCTAGCGTCGTCGTTCGTTGGCGCTTGGCTTCTCTTTCTGAGGTTTTGTGTTCATTTCATTCATCGTGTTTCTGTTTATGTTGCGTACTTTCGTGGCGCTTTACAATTTTTGCTATAATTGTTTGTAATTCAACGTAGTGTGTGTAAACATAAATAAATTTCAAACATTACAAGGAGTCGTGTATAGATGAATACTATATTGTGACAAGTAAATATCATCGCGTGTGGTTTTGTGATAATTTTAGACTAGACTCGACAAAAAAAAATAAACTAGTATTATAATGTTGTGGTATTTCATTACAGAATGTCTACTAGAAGCGGTCGAATTAGAGCTAGTGTTATAGAAGTGAGTCCTCCCAGAACGCGTAAAGGTGTATCACCGACGCGTTCTCCCGCCAGAACGCGGAAAAGTTCGCCGCCGCCGTCCGCGAAAACTCCGCCTCCTGCACGCTCACGTTCGTCTGGTCGCAAATCTCCTGCGCGCAAATCACCCAGCAGAAAACCAGCATCTAAATTTCCAGCCCGCAAGTCGCCTTCAAGAACTACTAAAGAGACAACAGAAGTTGAGGTATTATCCAGTGTACCCAAGTCTCCGGCAAAACGGCCTCCTATAGACCTCGGTGTTTCGATCAAACTAGAAGATTTATCCTCTAAACTTGATTCCTATCGCCGTTCTACCCGGTCAAAGCGATTGGAATATTCCGTGAAAGATCTGACATCCAGTATTACAGAGAATGAGTATTCCCTTGACAAGGCGAATGGTTTGGATTCAGGCGACATTTACAGCCTGAGAAACAGGCGTCCAGTCGAGGAGGTCGCGCCGCGCAGGTCTAGTAGGCTGCGGGAATTCATTGACAATGTCCCTGACATCAGGCGGAGTCTTAGCAAATCTTTAAGTCAGAGTAAATCTGTAAGCAAATCTGCCAGTAAATCTTTAGAAACATACTCAGATGAGGACAATTCTGAGGAAGAGTACCACAAAGAAAGGGAGAAGTCGAAGTCTGTGACAAGGAGGTTGGCGACTCCACTCCGGAACAGTATCAATAGCTTAACCCATACAGCAAGCAAGTGGGAGTTTGGTGGTAGAATTGGGTCCCTCTGTTTAATTTTACTGATACCTGCAACAGTATTTTCTATTTTAATATCTTGTAGGAAATCTTGTTCACCATTATCATTATTAGATCTGTCTGCATACAAATCTGTGCAAGTTTTGTTTAGTTTACACTCATTGTACTTCCTCATTGTGCAATGTGTAATCCAAGCTATATTTGCACTTGTACCAGTATTTGGTGTAAGTTCAGACCGCATGGATGAGTCTGGTACAAGACACTGTTTTAATGCATTTTTCTCCAGCCTGGTGACAATAAGTAGCCTCTTTGTTCTCGATTACTTCCATGTTATTAACAAGGGGGCACTACTGAATGAATATCTGACACTTGCAGTACTTTCATACATTTTTGCTGTTGTACTGAGCATTGTGTTGTATGTGAAGAGTAGTAAACTTGCAAAGGACAAGTTGAATCAGTATGGAACGACTGGATATACATTGTATGACTTTTTTATGGGAAGGGAAATTCATCCATTTATCAAGAAGTTGGATATTAAGATTTGGATTTCAAGAATTTGTAACATTACTTCTGTAAGTATATTATTATATTTTTTCTTTAAGTATTGTAAGTTGTGTAGGATTTTAAATACTTATAATTAAACAACAAGTTGTTTTACAACAGTCTAGACACTTAGACAAATCCAATAGGGTTTATCTAAATCAAACCAACCACAGCTTGCCAGCCTGGTACTATAAATAATATAGTAGGAAAAAGGTAATAATAAAAAAGTTCTAACTTGACCGCAACAATTTATAAGTAAACGAGGAAAGTAGAATAAAAATATAATTTATAATAAATAAATATGTATATAAAAAAATTCATTATGCTTATTTTGTTTCAGCTCATTTTACTGTCCCTGATCTTCACACAAGGGCTTTCAATACGATTGCCTCACAAACATGACCTGTCATTGGAAAACTGGAGACAGTTTGTGGGTAGCATGGAGTTGAAGCCAACAATACTCGTGTTTGCTATAATGCAGATTGTATACATTCTAAACTTTATAATGAAGGAGCACAAGATCACGACGACGTTTTACTGGCATTCAGAAGGGGTAGGGTACCTTCAGGCAGTTGCAAGTGCACTGTACCCATACTACTTCACAACAATATCTAAACATGTGGCAGACACAGACTTAGTTCTGTCTACTAACACCTTAATCTCTGCTTCTCTACTATATGTGCTGGGATTCTTTATAATGCTTGCTAGTAACAATATTAAACACGAATTCAGGAAAAATCCTCTACATCTGAGCTTGGCAAGTAAGTAACAATTATGCTATTTATTTAGGCATTTGTATTTTTTATGCTTTATTTTATGTACCTGGTTTTACGGGGTATACAATTGTTGTTAACTAGCAAAATAATAATTATGTTTAGTTGCATTGTAAACAATCTAAGGTTGTTTTAATTAATTTGCAAAAATCTAGTAATTTTCCGTAACAAGCAAGCTTACACACATACATACATAAACTCACGCCTTTGTCCCATAGGGGTATGCAGAAATGACACCTTAACTTACCAGAACCCTTACTTATATTAAAAAAATAAACTTATAATGTATCTAGTTACCTACTGAACTTATTAAATGTTTAAGACAATTTCTTGTTCTAACATAATTTAAATATTGGTTTATTTTCAGACGTAGACTCCATGCCGACGTTCCATGGAAAGAAGCTGTTGGTCTCCAATTTATGGGGAATCCTGCGTCATCCGAACTACACAGGTGACATATTGATTCATAGCGCTCTAGCATTGCCTGGGATCATCTCTAGACAGTATATAGCCGCAGTTCCGGCCATCCTGACGATCTTAGTACTGATGCATCGTGCGTGGCGGGACCATGAACGGTGCAAGAGGCGCTACGGAGCAGCCTGGCAGAGATACTGTAAGAGAGTACCATCAGTACTCTTACCTAAAATTCTTTAATTTGTATTCTGACTTACATTAACTTACTGTTGTGCATAAACCTCTTCCAGAAATAGACTATATTAATTGTTGCTGCTTGAATGAATAACTCAATATCTTAGAAATCTCTATATATAAAAAATACAAACTTTAATGAACTCGAATGTCAGATCTTATAAATTAAGAGCACATTACCATTGAGTAATGTAGATTTAATTATATTAAATGTATTTTAGATTATTATGTCAGAGATTTTAATTTATGTACATAATTATTATATATGTATACAATTTCAATGTATTTGAAGCAATAATGCATCACAGATAATGCAATGAACAATATTTTCGAGATCTCTGTGTGAAGATATTTTTATTGAGGTTTTATTATACCTAGATGTATTGTCTACTAACAGTAGTTTAGTGTTTGTGTAAAATTTGGTACTGCCTTACGAAACCACCGTACAAAATTCGAAATTTTATTATAATATTAGCTCTCTTTATTACTAATCTAAATTAGGTATTACATTTTTTTTACAAATTGACTTATACAATCACTAATATAGTGTTCGTATTGGACTGGTGTGTTCATGTTTCATTATTAGAAGAAAAGTGCATGGAGAATTAGCTAATTCTAGAAAATATTTGTAACTTTTAAGACTAATGATCTGTTTGATGTTTCTCTTTACTAACATGATGTGTTCTACTTAATAATTGGTTGCCAGAGTTGTTGCATCTTGATAATATTATGAAGAGTTACATGTTTAATATATTATTATTATTACACTCTTTTTAAGACAACCCTAAAATACATATTTAGTACAAAATTATCTAAATTACAAAATTGACGAGGACCAATAAAATTAGGCGAATAATTTTTAAGACTCATTTCGAACGTAGTTTGTATTCTAGAAGTTAAATTGTTAAATGTAACAACATTATTTACAATTTATTACGATCAAATTAATGATTGGATATTTATTAGGGCTCAATTTTATTAGTAGGTACTAATTTGACGAAAAATGAAATTTTAATTGTATTTTTTTACGAATTTTAGATGCGGTAAGTTGGAAATTTTGGCCGTTGTTTATAAAAGTGCCTCTGTATTAGAATTAATATTGTTCGTAGAGTTGTTTCGGACATTCATTTTGTTGTATTTGTCGATTGCTCAAAGGATTAGCACAAATTAAATATTGGACTTACATGTAGTATGTCTAAATACTTAAGTATGCCGCCTTCTTGGAACAATGATGAAATCTAGTTTTGTAATCTTGCTATGCAGCAACTTTTGCCATATTAGAAAGAAATAATGTTTTGTTCGAAAATGTTCTTGCATTTAATTTTAATCTTAATTCTTCTTCTGGTGTGTTTTTATGTCTTTCATTTTTAATTATGCTTTTGTCATAATTTAAATAAAGATTTTGTACAAAGTGTAATTGATGTTTATTTTTTCATACATACATTGCTGTTACCCATACACTGGGTACAATACCCAACCCAACCTCAATCCGTTTAGTAAAAAAGCCATGGGTTTCTGATTAGCTTAAATGTCAATAAAACAAGAATTACTCGAATTTATTTATTTTTCTATAAAATACACATACAATTTGTAAATAAACAATTCAATATTCAAATATCTAATGTACAGATTTCGTTCCTAAACATATTCATTACGTCCACGCTATAATGTACTATTACACCGATGCTGGATCATTATGCAACAATTACAACATCAAATTAACATACTGATTAATTGATTACGTTTAAAAACAATGTGTGGGTTGTTTCTTTTGTTAGACATAGCAGAAATCTACATAAAGACTGATATGTACTTCATTTTCCGTGGATATTAGGAATAACTAATTCTGTCAAGATCATAGGCTGCCGCGGCGTTATTTTAAAGAAAAGATATTTTATGAAATAATGCACGTCAAGAAGCTATTGAGGAATTGCAATGTCTTACATTAATTCTGATGTCAATTTCTGAAAGCAATCCTGGCGGCGCCCATGGTCAAGCTTCAAGCCGATCGCTGGAAAAGTCTTGGATAAAATATGACATCGCATTTCATCGGAATTAATTCCTATGGGACAAAACAGCATCTATATACTAAATTAACTAACATCAAGTACCTGTAGATTTTAGACTAGTACATGGACCTTAAGACAAAATCGATATTATTTTACCATCCTAATAGGCCTATTAAACGCTCTGAATTTATTAACCGGTGCAACCTTTTAGGTAGGATTTAAACAAACGATAGAACACGACTAGCTTACACAAGGCTGCACTTACATAAGGGTCATTTTGGCACTAAGACATTTATTTTAGGTTTAAATCATCGTGGACTAAATAAAATACATGTAAATGGAAGTTACTGTAGTAAATTAAGAAAGAACTTAAAGTTATACATAGTTTTCTTGTTTATCTAATTTAATAACTTCTAATTTTTCATCATAAGATTGTGTTTTAATCCTATATAATAAATATCTTTTATATATTTTAAACAAAAATAAACAGTAGCTATAACCTCAGCCAAACCCTTTGGGCATTACAGGCGTGATGGTTGTTATTGTAACGAATTTTTGACAACGGTAATATAATATCATACTAGGTATACATAACTTTAGGGGTAGGGGCTTATCAAAGTGGTTGGTAAGATAGTTTGAACGTAACGGTATTATTGGGAAGACACACATAAACCTTACCTATGTAAGCTCGACCAATAAAACAATGTTTAAAATTTACATGAAAATATTTCCACGTGATGTCGTTAGCTATAACGTTCTAAGCACAATGTGGTCGTCTAAAGTGTAGGTAACTATTTCGTATTAATTTATTATCAAACATAAAATACCTTAACATCATTTAGATTTATTATTTCATCACCTTTTAATCACATTACATAATATTAATAATTTTAGTGCTGGTATTATTTGCGTGTCATTTTATAATAGTGATTTCTCTATATTAAAATACGATGTTATTTAATGCCACTAGTTATTTGGTTCCATTTAACATTTACTATGAAAATATACACGTTAAAAATCTATAATATCGGTATTTACAAAGTATATTTACATTCATGGTATCTTCTTTAGAAAATATCGTTATTTTTGAAGTAAGAGACAGTGAGAAGTAGAGGTTTATTATTCAAACAATATTGAGATGAAGTTGATATACAAAAATAAAATGTAGTATGTAGAATAAACAGTAGTTTTAAAAATTAAGAAATAAGTAGAGTTAAAACAGAAAAGTGTATGAAATCGATTTATTAGGATAATTAGGAGACTTTATGGCAGTGTTTTTAAGACTCTTTTTGCAAAGAATTTATTTTCTATTCAATTTGGTTATTGCTAGCTACGGTTTAACTTGTCATCTCTCTAGCTAGTGAGATGAGTAGTATTTTTAAAACAAGCAATTGAGATTGAAAGTATCTATAAAAAGCTTGGAAATATTTAGGTAAGATTAGTAATCAGCGTTACATTTTTTTAATACTTATAAGTAGGTACGGTAACGGTAGGTATGCATACTATAAAATATCTTAAAGGAAATATTATTCTAAATACTATGAAAAATGGCCGGAACAATTTAAAATTAAGGAAAGTAAGTTTTTGATCGATTTGAAGAATTAATTTTAATTTATAAAGATGTCGAGAAATGTGATTATCCATTTATTGTAAGTAATGTCTCAAGAAATACGCATATTAGGTACCACTATTTTCGTGTTTTTTTGCGAATACTTCTTTAATGCATTCTCTGTCTATTAGGCCCCACAAATTACTGGTCGGAAAAGCTATGTCCGTCTCATTACTTCCTCCATTATCACTAAAGCTTTGTTCGCACTGCGCTAGTATTTTAGTCGAGTGGCGAGTTTTTAATAGTTCTCTCTCGCTTCGATTTTGGGACAGAAGCGAGAGAAGTCTACTAAATACTCGCCACTCGACTAAAATACAAGCATAGTGCGAACAAAGGATAATGATCTATTGTTTATTAAGTATTATTATACTAATTGGAAAATTGTGTTAAAATTCTTTTGAAAACGAGTTTGAAAATATAGGTAGGTAGTTTCTATTTTACGTATGGATGGCACGTTTTAACCAATTATTTTTTATCATATTATATGTTTGATCCACATTATAAGAAGAAATTTCTATAATATCTAGTTGAACAGCATTAAAATATTTAGTTTTAAATTTAATTATTATCAGTGATAATCACGTAGAACTACCATTTTGAATACAGAGATCGTCAGATAAAATACTATATAGGTATTTTAGATTTAGATTATCTTAGAATTTTTCTAATAGGTAGAACGCCTTGGTTAAAGTTACTATTAAAATCTTGTGTAATACATCTATTAAAATATTCATAGAATAGATTTTATAATGACAATTCGGGTTCAAGAACTAGTCAACTATGCAGGAAGAATGGTTTATCTACATATATTCTCGGCGAATAATAAAAATTAAAAAGGCTTGCAATAGTACAGACGGTATTGTTAGCCCGGTCAGAGGAATGTTAAGATACAAAGCCAGTTAGAGCTGACTAAACTAGCGAGGGTCTAACAAATTGCCCATTGAAGACAAGAATACCGCTAGAATATACGATAAAACTATAATTATTGGAATTATAACAAGTTCTTAACTGGACACTTAATTCTACTAAATTGGTAAAGGTCCTAACATAGTTATTAGTACAAAATAAGCCGCGCATCATTCCTTGTTGATGTCACACCTATTACATACAAAACAAGTCCACATTTCTTGTTACACACATAGCAACTGGCGTCATTTCTATGAGTCCAGTATTTTCTTCGCTAAAGCTTCTTACAAATAAGGCATTTCTTTTTACAATAACATCGTAATTCAATCAAAGATACAGCGTGTATCTTTCTTTACGTCATTCTTAAATTGGTCTGGTATTAACAATTATAGGGGGTGGCTATCTGATTGGTTACACAAAATCTATGACACCGAGTGGTATAATACCGCACTACTAACATTCGTTTTCCTAACTACTTTCATTATTTGCGTACGTATCAATTGGCTGATGAAGAATTGCAGGTTCATCGTTATGTACAAAATGACGTAGTGGGAGATAGAGCGTGATGTCAGGGGACGCGGCACGTGGAAGCGCGCGCGCCGACCGCAGGCCGTCAGAAGTTGCTGTCGAATACACCCATCGACCTCGAGATGTCTTCGTCGCGGAGACAGCAATCAAGAAACTCGTCTAGCGTCAGCACTCCGTCGCGGTTCAAGTCCATTTTCTGAAAAGATAAATTAGATTCTTATGTCGACCTCTTTGGACAACGAAAAAGGCCAGTTCCGCAGTTTGCTATGTTGGAGTACCTTATATGACTTGATCACGTCTGTGAACGTGATGCATAGATATTTATGGAAGCTATATTATACTATAATTAAAAAGTTAGTAAGGATCGTTGGTAGGTTCTAGGTGGCGCTGTAGTTTCTGCCTTTTGTGGGTTGGTATGAAGGGTAGGAAGCGTGTCACCTATAAACTTCCTTATAATATACATGCAGTAAGCCAATAACCGATCCTGCAATAACATAACTAGCTGACATTTACTCTTATTGAAATAATCATCATGTTAAGTTTAGCCGACACATTAAAATCCTTACCTGAAACAATCTTTCAACCTTCTCTCGTATCACATCGTCTTCCAGCATTGGCTCCACTATCTTCCCCATCAGATCATAAATGGCGGTGACAATCTCCGTCATTTCATCCTTGGTGATACACCCGTCTCCATTGATGTCGTACAGTGAAAACGTCCATCGTAACTTTTCTTCTAAGGTCCCTCTCGATAGTATTGATAAGCCGGTTACAAACTCCTATTAATTCAAACAAATTAATTATTATTGTTAATCTGGCGAGATTAATTAAATCCTAATTTGATTAGATAACAGTGTTTGCGTCAAGATTTTACCTCAAAACTTAACAGGCCACTTCTGTCTTGGTCCAGCGTGTTGAAAACGAAATGCGCGTACTGGGCAGTGTTTGCTGGAAAAGAAAAACAAAAGTTTGAAACAAAATAGAAAGCTATCTACTATCTAGAAAATGTTAGGGTGAAATACTCTCAGAATGAAATATGAATTTTTAGGGGGCAAAAATGTGACTATAGCCCATGGTTAGAATAACCCACGTCACGCCTTATATTCTCAGGAGTTTTTTAAGGGGGGAAAATCGAGTGACTCCTGCCTGGGTGAGGCGGGAGGGAGTGTCAGACTCTTACTGACTAAAAACCAACCTAGTTCTTACTCCTGCCCTTCGAGCCGAAACCCCGGCAACCCGTTAAGTCCTCCGCGGCATATTTTCTGGAGGGTTAGATGTACCTACAAATTGAATGAAATATGGGTATTTCAATTTGGACTGTTTTTTTTTGTTAAAAGTCAAAATCATTTATGTCAATTAGACCAGGAAGGCATTTTTGAACTTTATTCACCAATTATGTCATAATACCTACGTAATATACGTAACTTTAAAAAAAAATGCACCAGCATTGACGCAGACTTGAGTATTGGGTGCATCTAGAATAGGTATTTATTTACTTACTTGTCACGTGGTGAGTGGTCGCCATTAGTGAGCTGGAGACAAGTCTGAGATTTACTTACCATGAGACAGAATTAATTTGACAATTTGATGTTTTTTCAGTTGGAAATATACCAACGTATTCCTCTTTCAGTGCTTTCTTAATAGGTAAATGAAATGAATGAAACTAGCACTTTATAATACTAGTAGGCGTGTAGTAGCAAGGGCGACCTTTGCACAGATGACTCATGTATGTATTTATAAAGGTGACCTAAGATTTTATAGGAATAAAATCGAGATAGTATGTAATTTGTATATCTACTTATAAAGGTGTAGGTGATTCAGAAGATTGAAGCTGAAGTGAATATAGATTGTATCTATAGTTCTATTGTGAAGGTAGGTTTATTCCAATAAAATTGGTTTTACTTGCTAGTTTTATTTAACCCACTGAGCTGGATAATCAAAACAGGAAATCCCAACCACAGCATTTTGGTTCATAACATTTGTCTTATGTTTGTGTAGACAGTACAAAATACATAGAAGGAATGAGGACTGATGAAAATAATAAAACTGAAAGGCTTTCAAGTTTACTTTATTTCAGATATTACATTAGTGGTTACAGACTTGACAATTGGGTTGGACTTATGTCCAATAAATTATTTACCACATACAGCTTGCAAGTGTCATTTTTGGCCACACTTAAAAAAAATTAAGAGCTGATCTGAAACGGTGTCAACTAAAAAATTATCACAATGGAATAATTATTGAAGTTACCTAGAACATTTGGTTTACCTCAAATTTCACCTTAATTAAATAGAGTATACAGTACTACTGTTTTTAAGATACACAATGCTAAGGTATACAAAAGCTCGGCTACGCTATTGTGTATCTCAAAAGTTACGTTTTATACTTGCATCGTTTTATTTAAAATTAACTTAATGTTAAAGTTGAGATGGGTTCACCATAGCGTTCTTCCCATGGGAATTGGACAGTTCCTTAAGATAAGTTTACACTAATGGTGCTCCACCAGTCTGCTGCTGATAAACTTCTATTGTGTCACCTTCTTCCATCTCCAGTGATGTAGGCGTGTCATTTTCATTGATTGGTTGACCATCAAATCGGAACCGCACTACTTGCATTGATAGACCCTGTAAAGTGATTTAATATTTTCAGTTAAACAATGACATGGGCATTAATTAAATGAGGAAATTGCATAATATTGTGAAATTTATTTTTCATCTACAAGATAAACAATTCCAAGGTCATCTAGATATAATAATATTGTAAATGTTCTGAACAACAAGAATATTTGATGAACATAAATTATTATGTACAGAGATAGAAAAAAATAGAAATACTATTTCATAGAAAGCTTCATCTGAGAAACAAAAAATATAATTGTTATACATCATGTTATCCCCTCAAATAATCAACTGACCTTAGCTTTAGTTTTTATTTTAAAAGCTTTTTTGTTAATCAACATTCTAAAAAGACCCCCTATGTTTTTTACTGACTAAAAAATCAAACCTGAACTGATATAAGTGCACTTAGCTACTAACAATTTCAAGAGTTAGCTTTGAAAGTTGTTCGCTCAAGCAGATAGTTGCATTATTTCCAACAAATAAGTTGACAATGAATGCAATATTGTAATAGCGCAGTACAAGATTGTAGAGCCTAATATATGGCTTGGTATTACGTATTCCGAAGCAGCTTTCTATTCTAATTCTAACATTGGTGTTAGAAACATGTACTGTGTTTTTATACATTGTGTCTTATTGGGTGTTTATACCTTTTTTCTTGTGGCATTGATCAGAAGAACAATCACAAAGGTAATAGAGCTATGCATTATGAGCTCCCATAGGTGTAAGGGATACAAAGTTGCAAGGTCATTGATCTCTGTTCAATATGTTTACAAAAACAATTATCTCCTTTTTCTCATTAGATTATAAATGAGAAAATTAAAAACCAGCTATAAGCGATTATAACCTATTTAATGAGGGTAAAACATAAAATTTTGTGCTAGTGTGTAGAATTTGGCTTCACATGAGGTTCATGTGGCACAAACTGATATCTTTAACTTGATTTATCATCATTTATCAGGGAGAAAGCTTTTCCCCATGAGGGTTAGCTTCACTCTAGATTAGATTCTACCTACTCAAACATGGCATATAGACCAAAGACGCCACTTCTATTGTTACCTATGCCCTTGTATTGGAAATTACACAAACCTTTAAAACAAAGAACATAAGTAATAAATGACGATAAACTTACCGCTCGATCACAATAAGCATTCATTAACTTCCTCAGAGGTGTGTGTTTTTTGATTTTGAACTGCACAATTGCATTATCTTGCCCTAATACTTTCAAGTTGATGTGTTCGCTTTCTCCCTGAAAAATAAATATCAATAACTATATGAAGAATACACCTAAACAGGCACAATATCAAATCACTTTCCACTTTGAATCGGCTAACCACATTTTACTAATAACGCCATGTCGGTGAAACACTGTTTTCGACTTTTAGTAATACACTGATAATATAGCAAGATACGAACCTTCTTCTCGTCAGACATTTTGATATTTTTGTATTAAAAGAAACCGTCAGCACAGAACTTATAACACTACGGAAAATCCGAAGATTATCAATAGAAAAACGCACTACTGACAGATTCACAGTACGATGGCGTGGTAATGGCGTCCGGTCCGGTCGCGGGTCGTGGCTTGGAGGAAGCAAAGCAGGTTTGCCAACACATGCGCACTCGTAACGGCGAAATGGCGCGCTTCTGCGCAGAGACGCCTAAAAATATTTTGCTTTAAAAATATTTATGCTATTAATTTATTTAACATTAATCATGAGTATTTTAACAGTTAAGAAAGTAATTTAATTTATTCGGCGAAAAAATATTTTAACTTGTTGTGGTGACTTTAGTAAGAAGTCAATCGACAAAATAAAATTACTAAGACTACTATTTTGAATTTAGTAATCAGAGAATCGATAAAAATATCTTTTATTTCCTCTACGAAATATATGGAACATTCTAGAAATGTAAAAATAGAAAATCAATTGACTTCCAGTATATTGCCAACTGCACAAATCTAGTTCCGCCGCTAGTGTTGTGAAATGTCGATAAATGACGTCAACGGAAGTCTGTAGTGTTGGGCGGTGCTGTCGATTCTGCGTTCCGTTTCACGTTTGTTACTTATTTTAGTTTAGACGTGTCTATGTGTTATTAAAATCTATGTGTTATAAACATATTAAAAACATATTGGAATAAATATTTTTAGTTTTTCGTTTTTTATATTATTATTTTTAAATAGCTAATAATCTAGATGCAATTAATATCTCGTCATGAAATTAAAAATTGTATTTCATCATGATTTCGTGAAAATCGTGATATCTAAGTTTATCGGTACTTTTTTTCTATGCTTTTTCTTTTTACAATAACATCACGCCTTTTACTTCCCAATAGGATAGGCAGATGTACACATTTATTATATTACTTATCTGATATGGTCTACCTAACATTAATGTGATGTTTGTGTAGGTATCCAACGATGTGAAGCGATGTGTTTTATTACATTAGGTGGCAATGGGTGGCATTTGGCGGTGAACCAGTCTATAAGGAGGGATAGGTGACTGTGATCAGTGATCATCGAGGTGTTCGAGTTTCAAAGGTAACGCTGAGGAATACGATGTTACGCGTGGCTCGGGGTAATGAGCTAATGGTGGCCCGAAATCCATCGGCAAGGGTTTCAGAGGGGTGCTATTTAGTGACTTATAATGAATGTGAACGCACATTTAGTGCATAAATTGTCATGTAGGTCACTTGAGAGTTTGAGACCACAACTACGATGTTGTCAATAAAGAGAATTGCTGTGGCTGTCTCTGTATATTCATAATAAACAGTTAGACCCGGGAATTAAACCCAAATCCTTTTTCTCGGCATTTGGACCCATTGGTTAGTCACCAATTCACTTAGGTATATTCACATAGTTCGTGGTACGATCCGTGCAGTATTAAATTTTTTCAACCGGTTTTTTGTGGTTCCTGTCAGTTAAAGTTACGTGCCAAACGTTACCTAACTGCTATAAGTTCTTTTTTGTTTCAACACGTGTGTTTTATGGACATTGACAATTGTTTCTGTAACAGTTTGTGTACTGTTGGTTCATGCGTCATGGGATCGCAGATTTGTGGCGCTCGCCCCGCTCTGATAAAAGCCTTGTTGCCGTTTGAAAATAATTGCCAGCAGGCAGCAAGCTTTACTTTTTGTGCCCTGAATTAAATTTGCTACGTGGCTTCATTTAAATAAAATGTTTGGGTGAATGTGTGGTGACCTTTTTATGCGGACGAATGTTAAATAATTTTTGTTCTAAACGGCAATTTGGGTTTGCTATTTTTATGGGTATCATCATCTTAAACAGATGGTTTGTTGTGGATTCTGGTTTCGACTATAGCTTTCTAGCCTGTTTTTTGTGAGACATAACTTAAGTATCTGTGTAGATCAGGGGAATAAGGGCGAGCCCCATAGAGCGCCAGGTGTTAGGGGACCGAAATCCGCTTTGTGCAAAAAATCACGTTTTAGCGCAAAAAGAAACCCGTGTTAAAAAACCGTCTACGCACGTGCGATCTATTTTTTTTATCTGATATTATAATATAACTACTTCTATAGATACCTAATAGTAATTTAAGAGTGTTTTTGGACAGTAATTAATCATTTAGGAACTTATCCCTTTCAAAATGTTCTATTAAATTACTATTTTATAATTAGATCAGTTTTTAAGGTAGGTAGTTAAAATAACAAGTAATGTAATGCACAAATATACCTACATTTAATATAATAAATGTGCAAGTTTTATAAAGAGAAATGCAGTATACTAGTAAAGAGAAAATCTAAAAACATAATTACCTATTTATGTACCTATCTAATTGAAAAACGCTTCCAATAACGTCATCATCATCATCAATAGCCTATAAGTGCCCACTGCTGAGCAAAACCTCTTCTCACACGGAGAAGGTTTGAGCATTAATCACCACGCTGTGCTTGATCGCGGGTTGGAGATTACAAACTATAATTTGAATTTATAAGCCCAGTTGTTTTCCAATAACGTATTTGTATGTAATTAAACGCAACAAAAAACCAAAAGTAAGTAGGTAAGTATAAAAAGGTTGAATGTCGCAAATTGTTTCCCCATTCTGCTTGCACATACAAAAGGTGATTGTTATTCCTCGCGTTCTACAATTGGGGTGCAGTGAGCGCACTTGTTAACTGTACTGAATGCACTCGTAGCTGTGAGCTGCCAGCTTGCCACTTTTGCTTTTAACATTACATCATAATGCCATGTATTTGCTGGAAAAGTGGGTGTATTGGCTTACTTTTGTTCTAAAATACCTACTTATCCAAAAAGATCCTTATAATAACGCCTAAGAGTCTCTTTACGTATGATCAACAATGTCCACAGTCCTTGACAGTCTATTGTTGGATTATTTTATTGGTTTCTTCCACATAAACAATTACTTTAATCTCCACACTTGATAGGAGAGTTAAGTTTAAGGTTTATCATAGAGCACTTGATATTGTGCTTCGAATTATCCCTTAAGAATATTTAAAGGTTTATTTTCACAAATATCAGCTTGTTCATTCTACACGCGTCCAAAAGAATATACCTGACGTAACTTTCAAATCTCACAATACAACTTCCACAGTAAGTCCTTTAAGTCCGCTAGTAATCCCTATTAGCTTCTTTGTAACAAAACACGAGAGTTCGGGTAAATGTGACTCCTAACAATTAAAGGGATTAATTAACTACAGTACATATAGATAGATCAATAGACTATAGATGGACTCCTTCAAAGTAGGTTATTGTTACAGTTTTTTATATCAAATATTTCCTAACTTTTTGTGATAAAATACATAATTATACATACATAATCGTAGGTACATCGGGGGTTGGCAGGGACTATGGAACGTCAATTGCTACGATTTTTATATACTTCTTGTGTAAAAAATAAATACCTAAGCATTATGACTTAAAAATATTGAATGTTAGAAAGTCGTTCAAGATAGTGATTTTAACCATGTTTTCAAGGCAAAACGCTATTAGATTAGATCAAGATAGTCGTTAGACATTTAAATTGTCCGTATAATTGCCGTCTCTTAGTTAGAAATGCAAAAGCATGCAGAGCAATCAGCTATTCAATTTGTAAGCCAATAAACGCTTACGTGGTATGTCGATTGGTTTTTCCCTGGCTTTGTTATCTAGCCCCTTTCAACCCATTCATTGCCTTCATTACTATTCGATTTTATTCAGAACAATTTGCACTTGATTGTTCCAAAGTCTTGATCAGTTAACTTGGGACAGAATTGTTTCTTAACGATCTGTTAGATGTCGCATTGTCCGTTAATGGAAGATCGCGGGAATGGATTAGTTATACGACTGTCTGTTTTATCTCCGTTCCATTTGGGCCAAGTGCCAGGACTGAATGATTTCTTTTATACCTGATAATGGTAATTGAAGTTTTCCCAGTTTTCCACTGACGTTTTATTATGATTGGCATTATTTTATCCGGTATTGGATTCGATGGATTCTCTACTGTATTGACATAGGTATAATAAATATTTTTGTGTGTATTGCAATGCTTTACACGTGTATGGGTTTTGTTTTCAACGATATAGCCGTAGCGTTATTATTTAAAACTGCCTCGATCGGTATTTATTCCGAGCCCATTACCGATAGCGAAGCATTCGTGCAGTTGAGAGTGCAATTACTGTATATTGCGCGAAATTCAGTTCTGAAAGAAGGAAATTATTTTGCTCCAATAGGTATGTTGTTATCGAAGCATGATATCACATCTTGATATGAAAAATAAAGCAAGGCTAATGGAAATTCGCATACTTTTTACATTTTAACTTTAACTAATCGTATCAGAAATAAAACATGTAACTACCTAGTTTTCGAACTTTCGGTCAATTTATTCACGGGCCAAATCACATTCGCAATAGGCACATTTCTCGTGTTGTCCAAATATTCACATATTGCAAACTGTACTTTATGTCTGTCGTGATAAAATATACATTCATAGAGCTCCTAAGTTCGCGAGCTTAGGCCCCGTTCCGTGGACAATTTGCGCAGATGTAAAGTAGTATGCGGACCACTCAACATGATGGGATTATATGATTATGTGATGCGTTTTTCATGTCGCCATTTTATTCCTTTACTACGGTCGGTGTACTTTATTAACATTCTTCGCGTAAACTTTGACGTTTATTCTGTTGGGTAGTTTTTGTGTGAACAACGGTGGTTGTAAAGTGCGTAGTGCCGGTTATTTTGTGTGAAAATATGCGAGACTTTCCGCTCATGCTTGGCTTTAGGGAAAAGATTTTCTAGGAATATAATTTTCTGCCTCGTTGGCCGAGTGGACACAAGTGCGACTGCCGGGCAAGGGGTCTCGGGTTCGATTCCCGGGTTGGGCAAAGTACTACTGAGTTTTTAAAAGAAATCTCAGTAGTAGCACGGGGTCTGGAGTTGTGCCCGGTATATGGCAATAGGTTCACCCACTATTACATGGGACTCATAACATTAATAGTGAAAAGTCGTAGAGTAAGTACTTATAATGGCATAATGTGTACCTCTGCCTATCCCTTCGGGGATAAAAGGCGTGATGTTATGTTATAATTTTCTTACATGTTGCCATTGAAAAAACTGCTTTAGGTATCAGTGGTTAGTATGTTTTATGACTTTGTCTAAGTATCGACTTTAAAAACTTTAAATATATTTTGACTATCATCTTTATCATTTTTCATTAAGTTCTGTGTTTATCCAAAACTAACATCAACCCAATGTTGAGATTTACTTTCGAATCATTTTAAAAAACAAAAGAGTGTCAACCTTTGTCTAAACCGAAACAAACATGATAACGTGGATATTCCTGCACACGAACTTATCTAATTCAATGAAAAATAACTTACATCTAAAGATACACTTACCTGCCCCAGATGGACTCGCAGATGATAGGTACACACGGCCACACACACATCAACCTATACAAAACCAGTTTATCCTGGTATCGCGTCGCATCACCTTTCTGCACATTTAACGTTCAGTTTATACTGGTTATGCAAAGCTCGATGTGTAGCCGTATGTACATAAGTACCTATGTATGGTTTCCGCGTTCGTTCACTCTCGTCAAGGCTTCAGGCTTCAGGGAGAGGAAAGGGTAAATAAAACGACACACTTTTTCCTATTGTTTATTTGTACTGGGTTATTTTCTATATCTATATATATGTATGTGGAGAATATTGATGTTTATTTTACCTTCTTGCTTTATTGTTTAGATCTTTATTGAGGTTCAATTGTGGTAGCTTTAAGGTTAGGTAGTTGGTGTGGAAACCGTTTTTGAACGTGAACGGTGTTTTTTTATATTATTTTTTATTTTTTTAATAAAAACATTTCCCCACACTAGGATTTTCACTTGTATCGTGGGTGCGTTTACAAACATACAAGTTGACATACACATGACACCCAGACCAGAAACAACGATTTGTGGACCACACAAATAGTTGTTCTGTGCGGGAATCGAACCCGCGACATGTTACATGGCAGCCAATTACCTATCCACCGCGCCAACCGTGCAGTCAAGTCAAGTTAAGCAGTTTGTTTGTTATTTGTTTATTAGTAAGTACGATTACTTAAATTGATACAACCTGCCTGGGGTACCTACATAGTATAAGTGGTATTAAATAAGACTTACCGATATTCATGTAAATTCTGCACTAGAAGCACTTAGGGCCGATATTTCGAAGGCCATATAAATTTTAACTGAGGAATAACTTTAAATATTTGACAATTCTTCCACACTGAAAACTGTCTATTGTCAATTTCCTTCTACAGTTAAGAATTAACTGATGATTGAAAACTTGGCCCTAAATACAATTTTTTTTTCACCTACGTAGTTCATGCTGGAAAACGTCTACATTGATTTGGTTAATACGAAAGAATTTCAATAGGTGGCGCTACAATACTGTTTAATGTTTCGAGAATTCACTGAATACAGTATTTGACAACTAGTCAAATTCAATACTTTTATCGAAACGTCAAAAACGATATTGATAAGAATTTTGTACGAGAAACTAACTTATGACGTCATCATATTTTCGAGTCATCGAAAATGAAGTACCTATATTATTAAATCAATGAATGAAAGTGTTATTATTTTTGAATATTGAATGGTTATAAAAAATCTAAATAATTTATTTTTGACGCAGGAAACTTCCCAATTGCTACAGGTGTCAGATGGTGGATTGTTTCAGTTTGCAGAGCACCGACAGAGTGCATAAGTTGTAGACTTGTAGTGGGTTCGAGATCTGCTCGTAAATTAGTTTTATCAAAACTTATTCAGATTTAGTAAATTGGATATTGATTTATCAATCGCCAGACGTTATTTATGACCATATTTGTTAATTTAATTTAATTTAATTTAACCAAACTTAGTTCATTAATTTGTGTAGGTCCTAGGAGTTATTAAAGTAATACTTTATTAATGAGTAACTAAACAATTATAAGCTTTCATTCTCTGTTAATAACTTAGAATACAAGTAACTTTGTATCGACCTTCAAATCCTGGGAATTTTCCGTTTAGAAACTCTTAGTTATGAGCCGCATTATTGTAGGTGTTGTTTCCAGATGGTTCTTACCGACACGTGGTGGTTTCCTTGTGCTAGTTACTTGTGAGGCAACTTAGATATACGTACTAATGGAAAGCTAATAATTTGTCCTTTATTTTGGGAAGAAAAGCAGTTAACTGTAGCAGTAAAATTATATACAGTTTTTAAACTTACCATGCCTGATTGAAGTTGAATTCCTATTGTTATAAAAAATAATACTATTAACGATGTCTTTAACATTCGTTTTGAAAGTTCATTGATCATAAAAATATCTTTTTACCTTACCTTTATCATCAAATAGCGTTGTCACAGAGCTTTTAACAAAAATTTACTTCAAAAATATGGGATATTTAGAGGCTCTTTGCGTTACGAGGGCGGGCGTCCAGTCTTTTAAGTCTGTGTACCTTTGATTCGGACTATTGACTACTTACCATTATTTGTCGCGTGAGTTTTATAGCTATTGATAATAAAAAAAGTCCTTCACAACTTACCTCCTTGCGGAAAGAACTGAGAGTAGATAAGCTTAAAGGTTTCCTCTTTCACGACACCAGTGGGACATTCTGCCTTGAAGCCCCGGTAGAGACGTTTTAGTTCTGGCTCTGTGAACCTGGTGGCCCTTCGGAGCGCTGCTATGGAATCTGGCCGGTACCGCGGCAACTGTTCACCCAGCTCCTCGAGTTCCGAATCTGGAAATGTAATGGAAAATGTGTCGGTTAGATTGTGATGGATTAAGGCTATTGGGTTTCTTGTAAGAGGCGTAGCTTATAGGGTCAGTGTGTGGGTCGAGAGTAAGAGTTTTAAGAGAGACTATAGTTTGTGCTCGCACTAAATGTTGATTTTCGTTATTCTCCTGTCTGTAGGAATTTAGGAAAAACTCTTCTTGGAGCTACCCTCGGTAAGTAATTTTCAGCTTCCTAGTGCTATTAGTTTCGGCTGTAAGTTGACTTACAGCCAGTCAGTCGGTGATGGCAGTTTTATTGTTGGAGATATTTTATTGGTATAGAGTATCAGTTCGTAGGTAGTTACGTTACACAAATCGTAATAAAGAGCTTGCAGAATCTCTTTAAGAGTAAACTCTTTCATTCAGATTAGAAAAACAAAATATACAATCGTTAAATCGTTTCGATCTAGGAAAAACTGCACTTAAATTCTAACGGGTCGTTCGCTCTCGTCGGCTATGAGATGAAGCTGATGAAAGTGTTCCCATCGGTTCCGTGCCCTATCGACAAAACCCGAGCTTTACAACGAAGGTCGAACAATGACGCCCCGTTTGTTTGCCGGTTATCATCTATCATTTATCGGGTATAGCGATGTCATTGCAAGGAGCCTGAGAAATTGAATTTGGTTGTGGAGGCAAATTGTAAATATGTCAATATAATTCTGAATGCCGATGTATGTGACATGGTGGAAACTATTTGGTTCGTAATAAGTAATTATTATTGTTAGTATTTATAACGATAAAGTAATTAAACTGTCAAACACCAAGCGGTCATCGGTGACCGCAACCTATTGTTCTATAATTGTGTGTATAATCACGGTACTCGACGAGTTAATCATGACATGGGAAAAGATATCCCATATCCCAAAAGATATCATGGGAAAGTCTTTGTGCTATCAGTTTAAATCTGTTTTCAATTTCTACAGAGTACTTTTAAGTTCTTTATCATACCCTTTTACAACCCGGTATAAAGTCGAAGTACCCTAAAAGGGGCTTGCAATACAATCTTCCATTTTTTCCTCCGAATAACAGAACCCTGAACTGGCAAGATTATGGCAATGTTTGATGTTCTCAAGTGACTGTTTGTATTATCGTGTCAATAACGTGTCAAAGGGCTAAGAAGTCCGTGTCTAAGTGGCATTTAGTTCCCTTTTGATGACTGCGTCTCTTTCTTTCTTGAGAGGGATATGTTACGATATGAATTTGATACTCCTACTTCCTACATCATAACTTTCCACAGCATTCAGTTTATAAGAGGCAGAGCCTTTTCAACTAATCTTATCGTCCCTTTCCATCTTAAACGTATTTTAATCAATATCTCAAGTACCAACGACGTAGAACCTTCGAGAATTCATAAAATTTTAATCACAAATAACTGGAACTCGTAAATTTTTTAAGAAGACCTAAAACAGGTGTCGTAAATTCTGGAAAGGGACAACCGAATCAATAGGCAATTTCATCATATTTCATTTGTGAGATGGACCCGAAGATTGCTTTCTTCTAAATTAATAGTCCTCATCATCGTGGGATTTTGCACATTTTTCATACACCAGATGTAGCTGGAGATGAGATTATATTTCACCTCGCAAGTTGGAAGTTCCATCTGAGATATTACGCAGTTCTCGTTGCGTACTAATTATGGCACTTACGTAAAGAGCACTTGACTCCTTCTACCTCGTTAAGTACGCTAGTCTGAACTAGATTAGATGTAGGAAGTCCGGTAAATTACTTCGTCTTTGAAGAGCGTTTTATGCTGTTACATAAAGGACCTAATTAGTACTGACTTTAAGGTTGTTTGTTAATTACTTTCTTTATTATAATCTGCTCATAAATTGAACAAAACTGTTATCAAATCAGAAGGAAGGAAGGATCAGAAGGAGCAAACTTATCTTAGACCTTAAAATGAACCGCGGAAGGCCTCACGGGATGCCGGGGCTCCGGCTCGAAGAGCAGGAGTAGGAACGGGGTGGCTTTTAGTCAGCAAGGGTCTGACACTCCCTCTCGCCTAACCCAAGGCGGGAGAAGACATTGGATGATTTTCCCCCCTCCAAAAAATTACAAGCTCCAAGCTACGTTTTTCTAAAGCAAAAACACGAACCATTTCAAATTGGTACCTACCTAATTATTCCAAAACGAAACTTTGAATAAAGAAAATCTAAGTCAAACTCGTTAGAGAATCATAACTAATCTCGGCATCTCACATCTGCGTCTAACTTTAGACCACGTACAATGAAATTCGTCACCGGCAAATTGTCAGTAATCGGTGTGTCTTAAGACTAATTGCTGAGCCCAATTCATCTGGAATTCGCATTCCATTTCCTCTGCAATTAGGGCTGATAACGAGCAATTTATTGCGATCCTTGCGGTACTGTTCTGTGACGTCATGACGTGTGACCCCACTGTGGATGATTTAAACCTTGTTAATGATGTGTCGGCATCATTAATGTGAATCAAAAGTGCATATCATGTTGGTTTATATTATGTTGATTCAGGAACTGCGAATATTGTTTGAGTAACATAAAATCTGGACTACTTTTCATATTGTAAGAATAATAATTAACAAAAAGAATGGATTTGGAATGAGCACCTAGCTTCACCTAATTTCACTAACGGACTGACTGACAGACTATTATTTATTTTGTATTTGTTGACGTTTCAAAAGTACCAAACTATGGTTTAATTGAAATAAATGCTTTGACTTTGACTTTGAATGCTGTTCAGCAGTGTGACCAACCGACAAAAATATTATTCAGACATGTATTGCCAAACTACGACGACGTTAAGCGGTTGAGATTCGAATACCAACTTAACTTTATGTGTAAGTTGTTTACAGTTTATTTTACTTTTAACTGGCTTTTAGCTGAAAGCCAGTTAAAGAGCTGCAGATGTGAAAACCGTTTTTAAAATAGCTTGTATTTAAATGCCGTAGGAGTGTCACATGTCTATAAAACCCGAAATGGGTTTTATTGTGATAGACACGAATAATTACGATGCACTGTTCTCGTTTTGCCTCTTCCGGTATCGGCGTGATACGTGACGTCACGTACAGCCATTGTGTGCAAATATTCAGATGTCGTTTAAAATTTTAGATTTAGAACGAATATATTTTCATTTTGATAGATTTTCTTTTAAAGTTTTTTTTATCGAATTTAGAGCATTTTTTAGTTTTCCCGATTAGTCTCGTTATCATAATGACACCTATGTAACTTTTTCAATTGATGCAAACCATTTGTCAAGGAATCAACAACAAATATAAATAATTTTAGTAAAAAAGAAATTGTCCTAAAATGTAAGAAACATGGCCGCTATATTATGAATTGTCACAATTATATTTCCATACTCGGTTTCCAACATGATACAGAGAAAGCTTAAGGAGCATTGCACAACAACCACGTCTGATAGTGACTTTGGCAAATCTTAAAAGGTTAAATGATGTAAACGTCAGTTACTTAGTTCATTATTACATAGAGCATCAGGATCTTAAGTTCACAGATAAGCAAACCAAGTAAACATAAATAGAAAGTTAGTCTTAAATTCACGTCTGCGTTTTCACAACTAATAACAGTTGTAAAGTCTAACCTGGATACAATATTAGTAGCAAACCCTTTATCAGAACCAACCTTAATATAGACAACCTTTTTAAAAAAAGATTGCCACGACCAATAGCAATCGTGAGAGCAATTGCTTCATTCAGTGTCCGAAACAAACAAACGATAGCAACAGCAGCTTCAAGTAATATTGTGATTAGAATATTAAATTAAGTAAACAGGCCGGCCTGAATGTAAAATTAGGTAATTTTCCACGGGACCAGCGAGTCCACGACAAATCCTGTCACGCCAACGAAATTTAATTTTACACCCATTTCTATTTAAGGTGCGATCCCGAACCGAACGATATCGGATTAGGATTCCAAATTTAATTCCAACCTTAATTTGTACACAATGCTGTTTTGCAATTTTAATTATTTCGGGAATAAAATCTTTAATAGGAAGCGAGGTAAATTGATTTATGTTTTATTTTTCTTGTGGGATATGAATTCAAAATTCTAATTTATAAGTAGTAATATGGACAATAAGTATGCCGCTTGCCATTAATAGTTTTCATATTACATTGTTATAAAAAATATCCTGTTGCAGTGAAGTGGTAATTACATAGCTACATATAACACAATCATAATAAAATCACGCCTTTTATCCCCGAAGGGGTAGGTAGGCAGAGGTGCACACAGAAGTAACACCCACTTTTCACTATTTATGTTATGAGTCCCATGTAATAGGGGGTGAGCCTATTACCATATACCGGGCACAATTCCATACTCCGTGCTACTACTGAGATTTTTTTTTAAAACCCAGTAATACTTTGCCCGATCCGGGAATCGTATCCGAGAGCCCTTGACCGGCAGTCGCACTTGCGACCACTCGGCCAACGAGACAGTCAATTACATCGCTACATTCAGTTAAAAATATTTAGCTTACTAAATACTACACAATATTTACTAAAGTCTTAATTTATCCCGTCTAGTGTATTGCCAAGAAATATCCTGTTTCACTAATTAAATCTTGTAAGTCAAAACTTGTACACGGTTCACACAGCGCCTTGTGTTAGTTTCTCATTCAAACAGTGCAGGTAAAGTTCCCAACATTAACATAACGTGCGTGGGTGCAGCTCAACTTATGAGCTCTTAGTATAATGAAACGTGGTTAACATTTATTTGCGGTTTTATACGACAAGGCAACGCCTATATTGATAAAATAATTTCAATAATACTGTAAAATGTTTCATATGAGGATAGTCAACCCTCAAATATTTCAGATATTTACATAGAAAGCACACCTCCATCCGGCTCCATCAAGTTACCACATAAATCTCATAAACTAAGTCATACATCTCGATGATTCGACGGAATAGTTCCGTGGAATCGTAAAAAATATGCGTAAGGAACACGACGAAATTGAACGACGGCAATCT